TCCAGGGCTGGACTGACACAAGCTGGGGCCGCTGACCTGAGGTTGAAACCCCCGGTGGTGGGATTTTCATCCAACTGCTTCAGTGAAACTAAAACATTTTCCTGCGTAAATAACGTGTCGATTTTCTTTGTATCAGAGCAACGATAAGTGGATGTGGGAGTGGAACGTTTTTTGTTTTTTTTTTATCTGTAATAATGTCACAGATTTATAACTGACTGTGTATTTTTCCTGTAAACGTACGCCTACACATCTTTACCCTGAAAACACAGTGCTAGCTGCCTCCTCCGGATGCTAACAGCCGCCGCTGCTGCTGCTGCTGCTGCCGCCGCTGCTGCTGCTGCTGCTGCCGCTGCCGTGTTTTCCTCTTTATTAAAACACAGTTCAAGGCAAGTATCTCTGGCTCTGGCAGCGGTGTCATTAAATCTGTAGGTAAATAATCAGCCAATCGGCTCCTATTTATTCAGATTTAATGGTGAGGGAAGCGGCCTGATTGGAAGGCTTCCTGTGCAGTGATTTGTGAGCGAGCAGCTCAAGGCCCTGCATCACAGCCGCTCAATGCAATCTTTGTCAGACGCCGTCAACCTTTATGTGCGACTGCGGCAGCGGCCGTGGGAGGTGTGGAAAAGGAGTTGAGAGGAGCGGCTAATAATTTGAGTTAGTGAGAGGTCAGTGTTAGACCGTGAACGCAACAAATTATTTAAAAAAAAAAATGACAACGTCACGAAAAACTCACCGTCATGGGCCACAGAGAGGGGACGCCACTGTGTTTTGTAAAATTTGGTCAACAAAAAAGATTGGTTTTGAATGCAGACATTTCTGGGCCAGACAGAAACAGAGTGCCATTAAGTCAATCTTCGTATTCTTACAGGATAGCACAGAAAGAAGTTAGTAACTCTTAAAGGGTATCTAACCCAGACTTTTCGCAGGTGAAAATTTTACCTTCAAATACTTTTCTGCCTGCATGCACACTTGTACGAATTACGAATTCAGATAATTGGTGTTAAAAATAAAAAAGCCTCAACCTAAAAACATTTCCAGGTGTAAACACTCCCAGTCTCCAGGTGACAACAACAACAACAACAACAACAACTCTGTCTGTCCTGTCAATACCAGCTCTGGCAGTAACTGATGTAATTCTTGTGTTCACTGTTTTTCAACTACTATATCATGTGGAAGCAGCTACTGTATATAAGCTCCCACACATGTTCCCCTAATAATACAGCCCTGTTACCCGTGGCTGTTGCAGAGGTTTACCTGCGTGTAACTGAGCAGCTACACAGCTCCGATCTAATCCCGTGTTGATGCGCAACGTTTCTCCTTGTAGTTTCACTCACTGAGCAAACACAGAAGTGGCTGCAAGAATGAGTGCATCATGAGACACAGAGACAGACGTGTGACATTTACTTTTATTCTGTAAGCCGTTTCTGTTCTGTTTTATCTTCCGTGTTGCATTTATACAGATAATTGAAATCACAAATATAGTAATATACTAACGAACAAAAGAGTGAAGTAAGCCGAGTTGTTAATTGTTAACCGATTGCAGTAAATATGCCTAAGCAGAATGAAATCTACAGGTCTCTACAGGAAATATAGCAAAGAAGAATATTTATTTAGCCCAAATACCTTATATAAGCCAAAATGCCTCAAAGATGCTGCTAGAAGAGTTGAGTTTTGTCAAAACTTAGCAAAATCATAGCTGAGAAGTAGCAAACCTAATCTAAATATATGGATAATTTAACCCTAGATCAGAGATATTACATTTCTTTGTGTAAATTACACAAAGAAAGTAAATAATTAGCCTTTAAAAGTCAATCAGATCTCCCTGAACTCTTCCTGTAATTTGATAAGGCTAGCTGTGGTAAAAGCCTCAAAAATGTGTTGAAACAGTTCAAAGCTTGTCATCAAATTATTAAAGTCTTCTTTTTGTTCTCTTCTTCTCTGTAGTGGACATTAACTCAGCTTTGCCGCTGCGTCTCCCGCCCGCTGCCATCCCCATGGACCTACGTGTAGACCACCACCACCACCAGCAGCAGCAGCAGCAGCAGCAGTTGTCATCGCTCTCCCCGCCTGGTCAGCAGTCACCCGGGGGTCTCGGGGGCCCGGGTCAGCCCGGTGGCGGCGGGGGTGTAGTGGTGGCCTCTGTCCGGGAGCAGCAGCTACAGCAGGAGCTGCTGACCTTGAAGCAGAAGCAGCAGATCCAGAGACAGCTCCTTATCGCAGAGTTCCAGAGGCAGCACGAGCAGCTGTCCCGCCAGCATGAGGTGCAGCTGCAGGAACACATTACGGTACGTCACTCAGCCGTGGGATCACAGGTTTACATCTGCAGGAAATGCAAGCTGATGGGTTGCTGTAGATGGGGCGGTAAAGAGCAGGTCGAAATATCGATGATTCACGTTCGGTGAGGCGTTTGTAATCCTCAAAGAGCCTGAAATGTCAAGGTCTTTTGCAAAATGTGTTAAAGAAATCTCAAACATTGCCTCAGTGTTCTCTGTCATTGACTGAACTGTCGAGTTATTGAATAAAGATAGAGTCTGATGATGATGACGCTGATGATGATGATTGTTATTATCAATTATGTTCAAAAATGTATTTCAGCCACAGCGACGTGTCCAGTAGCCATTTCAAAGTATAACTTTTGGTCACCATCCACTTTTGTTATTCCATCATTGAAGCCGTTCTTAGAAAGTGCAGTCTGTACTAGGACTGGCTCCATACAACTTTTTCATGTCTGATACCGATACTGCAACTAGGAGTAATGGCCGATACTTTTCTCCTCCAGCAGGCCGCGGTTGGGCTCAGGTATCGTCATTTTAGTTTCTCAGTAAGTGCAGTCACAGCCTCGCTGATTTTTCCTCTGTCTAGTTTTAACACAGCGGAGAAACCGTAGGTGTCACTTCTGTAGAAAACGCACCCTTGACAGCTGTGGTTATTATAATAACAATAATAATAATGATAATAAGGTTCCCTACGGGGGAGAGACTTCTGAAAGCAAAGGAAAATTTAAAATGGAGCATAGTCTTGAATTTTATATATAAACAAAATCATGTCAAGACTTCCTTTCCTTATTCCTTCCCAGCGTCCTCCTTCTTCTCCTTCTTCTTTTGTTCTTCTTTCTCTTTTCCCCCCAATGTTTTTGCTCTTTTTGTCATCCCTGTTTCTTCTTTCTTTCATTTCTTTCCTCCCTCTGTCCTTCCTTCATTGGCTGTGACCCTAGACACAGTTGAAACGTACTGGAGGCCGACCATGTAAACGGTACTTTGTTTTATATTCTAAATCAAAGCATCAGAAAAACCAGAAAGATACAAATGACCTTAACAGAAAACAATAAAATGCCGTCTAACAGGGAGATAAACTGAACATAATTATTGCGGCAGATTTGCAGCACATCAGTCTTCAGTTCAACGCCAGAGAATTGGATCTAAAACCTCCAGGAGACAATAAATTCAAAGCTCAAATGCACTGACTCGCTTCACAAACCCATTTAAAAGTTATGTGAACAAAGCACGGACGGCTTCTAACTTCGTCAGCCGTCAGATTCCTGTCACTCATGTCACTCAGCAGCTTCAGAGACGACAATAAAAACATTTAAACCTGATTTCCTTCCGGGGGAAAAAACAACACAACGATGTTGAGATGTAAAACCAAAGAATTGAACTCTAACCAATGATGTTTCGTCCCATAACTGTCCAGAAAACGCATGATTTTTTATATATCGACAACTGAGAGCGAAGTAGGCTCAGATCACATGATCACGTCTTTGTGACCTGGAAATTCAAAGTGAATCTAGATCATCCCGCCCTCGGGCCCCAGAGAGCAGAGGAGGGCTCCTGAGGGGCCGCGGTGTGGTTTAAAAATACGGCTCTGTCAGGAACCTCGGTGTTAAACATCTAGCGACATTTATTCTTCCAGATATTTGAAAAAAAAGGTAGAAGATGAAAGCTTAGGAATACATTAAGAGCAAATTAATGATTTTATTATTTCCCTGTCACTTGATTTACACCTACATCTCTCACTTCTCTCCTCATCGTTTTTCTCCCCATCTCCTCCTCCTCCTCTTCCTCCTGTCCTTTTTATTACTTCCTCCCTGTCTTTTATTTCACCTTTCCTACTCTTTACTCCAGTCAAACCTCTTTGTCCTGTTTTATAGTTCTTGCTTCATTTTTTCTTAATTTCTTTCTTGATTCCATTCTTCCTTCGTTGATCTGGCTTTTTCTTTTTGTTCCTCCATTTCTTCTTTCCTGTCTTGCTTCCTTTCCCCTCCCTTTATCCCTTTCACCTTCCTCTGGCCTTTCCTGCAGACTTCCTCCTTATCTTTCCTTATTTAAAAAACGAACCTTAATTGTCTTCCAACTTCCAACCTCTTCAAATTCTCTCCTCATCCGTTTTTTTCACCTCCTAAAATTTGTATTTTTTCCCTTTCTTTCTTTTCCTTTTCTTTTCCTCTTCTCTCATTTCTCTTTTCACCCATTTTTGTATTGTCTTATTTCGTGTCTCATCTTTTTACCTCCTCTTCTGTGCTGTATCCTGCTCTCTCTCTCTCTTTCTCTCTCTCCCTCCTTTCCCTCCCTTCCATCTTTACCCTTTTTCTCAGCTTTCACTTTTTCCCAACATTTTTCATGACGAAGTTAAAAACGTACACAGGAGACATTTAGTCCCAAAGTAAGATTGTATCTCTGCCGTTGAACAGTTCTCAAGAACTGATTCATTAGCACATTTTCCTGCTCTCGTGAGTGAATTGACGCCCGCACTGCCCCCCCCCCGCCCCACTGCTCAGTTCCACAGCCGTGATGCTGAGGCGGTCTGGCCTGTGGTGGGGCTGCAGGACCACTCAGGTGGAGGTCAGTGACGCACGGCCTGAGCGAGGGAGGCCTGGCCTCAATCAGGTCCTTTCACTGCCTCTGTGTACACTCACAAACACACGCACAAATTCAAATGTGTGCACAAACACACACATCTCTTTCATACACTGAGAAATCTCTCCAAGAGCATGAGATTATTGGTCAGATGGGGAAAAGTTTGTGTGCACATCCCTGGTCTGCAAAGTCACGAGGGATCGGTGGTTGTGGTGGTGGTGGTGGTGTGTGTGTGTTTGTGTGTGTGTGTGTATGTAGATATGGGTGGGGAGGTTACTTTGAGCTTTTCCCACCCACTCAATCCCTGAGTTTAGCTTGAAAATATAAAAAGGCTGGATGTGGATTTCTGGCGTTGGCATCACTGCCAGGTTTGAGCTGATCTTCCTCTGTCACCTCACCGTTCTTCATCCTCGCGTCGTCTCGTGCGTTTCACTATGAACACGTGTCCGTTTTGCAGCCATTTAAATGAAAAGAACTTGGGTTGATGACATGCAGTTATGGCAACTGATCAAATATTGTGACTGGGCGTGTGATTATTGGGGGGATTCAGGAGGGGGCAGTGTCAGTTCCCTGGCACATTGTAGACAGGTCATTATGTTGCTGGCAGAGAGCAGGCACAGACAGCTTGTGCTATTTATTGTGTATTACAGGGACATTAAAGAATAATTGGCACTTCTGATTCAGTGGCGTTGCGTTGTCACATGCCATTAAGGCTCCAGGGGAAGAAGAAGCCATGTTTTACTGTGTGTTTTCAGGATCTAATCAACACTCTCGCTCACTTGACTGGCAATGAGGTCCCAGGTCTGGTTCAAGGACTCTTCGCTGAATTCTAGACGTGTGGAATTTATGTGGGTTTAGCATTTGACCCTTTGGTTAGAGGACAAATTGGGAAGCTGCAGTTAAGAGTGTGATTTGATCAAAAAAACAAAAAAAACAAAAAAAAAATCGTGGAGAACAAAGATTTGAAAGACAAATGAACAGATGGTTTTCCTCTCTGTGTTTTCCTGAAGTAATGAATGCTTGAGCAGATTGGATTATGGGTCTTTGCTCGTACCTACTTCTAAGTGTTGACATGTATTTTCAAGCTTACGTTTGAGCCTGCAGTGTTTTAAATGATGCGGAAAAAGTTTGACTTTGTTACTTCAAACACCTGTTGGACTCGATTGTTCCTGAAGCGATGCAGTCGATGTTAAACAAATGGTTCTGGTTTGTTTGTTTGGTTGTTTGTTTGAGTTTTTCTGTGGGTTTATGAGCTAATGACAAATAGTGGGTGTTGCTGCCAGGAAATTGCCATCTGAGACAACAGCACGTAGAGATCTGAGCCACACAGAGGCACCGTGTGCAGCAACTTCCTGTTGAATTCAATCAAATTATTGACTTATTTCATTTATTTCATTTTCCCTGAACATGACTTGTATGTATAGGCAGAAGCCACATTAGGATCGATGTGCTACAGTGCCCTGACTTTGCCATATTGTAGCCATAATAGTTAGTGTAAAAGCTCAGATAAAAGTAGCAAGAAATTAGCCTTGACATAATTAGATTTATTTTATTTTTAGTGGAAAACTAGCAAAGCTGTAAAGAAACTGTAGCTTTAACGGTGAAGATTTGTGCCTTTTGTTCCGGTTTCCTTTGTGTTGCCACTGGCAGACACACTGTTACAATCTTTGATGGCCGTGATGAGCTTTGGGAGCACTGAGTTATGGTTTTACACCAGATCAGCTCCACTGATGCATATTTCTGCTGTTTCACCTGCAGCAGCAACAGGAGCTGCTGGCGTTAAAACACCAACAGGAGCTGCTGGAGCACCAGAGGAAGATGGAGAACCATCGTCTGGAGCAGGAGCTGGAGAAGCAGCAGAGGGAGCAGAAGCTGCAGCTGCTGAAGAACAAGGAGAGGGGACAGGAAAGTAAGTTGTATCTCGTATCTCGTTTTTTTGTTTTTTTTTTTCAGTAGAAGACATATTGACTCGGTCCAGAACGAGCAGTCCTCGTAATTGGGTCTTGTCGTTGTACAGAACGTGGCTGTGCAATTCCTGAAAAAAACGTAAAGTCTACAGGAGAAAATTTCAGTAAAAGCCTCTGCCTAAATAATATGACTACACATGTGCAGCTCCACCGTGCCACGGTGACAGATTATAACTACTCTAACCAGGTGCCATTTAACCACAGACATCATCAAATATAACAGTAAGTTAGTAATAATACTAATACAATTTACACCCGCTTCAATCAGCCATTTGTTAATACAGCGTTTGGCTCCCAGTTTTGTCTTACAGGTTTTTTGTTTTTTTCTCTGGAAACTGAAGTTTGGCAACTACTCACTCTCACACACCTACCTTCTTTGCAAAATATGCACACACACACACACACACACGCATTGGTTTTAATTATCCTCTGCTCCTACCATTCCTTCTGTAAATTCAGTCTTTAACCAAATATATTTACATTCTATTTGCTGTAGAACATTCTGAAAGAAAAACTGCCTCAGGTCTTGTTTTGAACATTAGGCAGAGCGTTTCCAACCATTCCCAACATATAAAATAATATACAAACAAAATGTTTTTTTTTTTCAATTTGTTATATTTTTTCATTAATATCTAAGTTCCAAAAAAAAAATTTAAATATTTGACCCCAAGAGCACAATGTTGTCAACCATGGCTGTAGAGCAGACTCCTCCTGGTCCCTGTCAACTAAAAAGGCTAATCTTCTTAACGGACCTGTCAGCACAGTGAGAGAAATTCTGTTCCTGAACATCACTGCCACCATCCTGTGACCCCACTCTCCACTACGTCCAGGGCTCTGNNAACCGCTTCTAGATCTGTAATCTCTGAGTGTGTCTCTGTGCTCACAGGTGTGTGTGTGTGTGTGTGCCCTGTGTTTGCACCTCTTTTTTTTCCATTTTACTTGGAGAACCTGCATGTTTACGGTGGTAAAGGAGCGGCGTTAGCCCGGTGGCCTTGGCCGAGGCTGAGCCCGACTTATTACCAACCAGCGCCTGTTGGACGTCTCTCAACAGTCCATTGACAGAGGGCGGTACGGGAGTCCTTGAGAGCAGTTTACACACAGAATGGAAAGAGGTTACAGACTGAGGCTGTACCGCTCTGTGTTTGCCTTCACTTGTACCTGCGCGTATGTGGTTTGCGGCTCCAGCGACTTTAATTTACTCAGCAATTTAGTTCGTTTTTGTTTGTTTTTTTTCCTCTAGTTCTTCTGCGTTTTTCTTTTCCAGGACTTTTAAAGGCTTCATTATGGGATGAAAGTAGAGCTTGTGCGGCTAGTGATTACTCTGCGTATCGATTAATCTGATCATTGTTTTAATTGCTAATTGTTTGGTAGATTAAATTCAGACTTGATTTAAATTAAATTAAATCCATAAAGCCCGAGGGGACGTGATTAAATCGTTTGTTTTCTTTCCCAAAAGAACAGATCAAATCTCAGCTACATGTGTGATGTACAGTGGAGTGAAAAGAGGTCCGAGTTCAAGCCCACAAACGACTTTAAACAAACTGTAATCCTCATTACTGAAGCATGTCTGACTGCAGATTGATCTGTCGGCTCGCTCTTCTTTTATGGAACTCTGCATATAAATGATAGCAGCATATTAGATTGGATTAGATTAGATTAGATTAGGCAATTGAGACTTTTTTATTAGGCTAAAGGACAAGAAATGACCTTCAGTGTTTGAACTGAAGATTTGTTTCTGTGAAACGATAAAACATACAGATATATTTGAATTGGTATTTGCCTATTAGCAGATTATGCTGATATTTTCCAGTTGATATATCGGCTACTACTCATTAAAATAAAAAGACGATTAATTAAAGTATTAAAGTAGTAAAAACATAAAGAGGTTTGCATCTTGTTCAGTTGGCTAATGTACAGAAAGATCTGTTTATTTTTTAGCAATGAGAAAATCACACACATCAATGTTTTCTCTGGTCTGGACAAAGTAGTGATAGTTGGTCATCAGCAGGTCTCTGGTCCATGTCCTCGTGTCGTTGATCATGTCCCTTTAACTTCTCCACCACAGGTGCAGTGGCCAGTACTGAAGTCAAGATGCGTCTTCAGGAGTTTGTCCTAAACAAGAAGAAAGCCCTGGCTCAACGGAGCCTTAACCAGGGTGGTCTGCCCAACGATGCCCCCTACTGGTACCGGTAAGTAACCCTTTGCAGCCTGAATATGTTTAAAAGAGTGCAGTAACGACCAAAACAGTATTTAACCATTTAAATGTAGTGTAAGGTTATTTTTTTTATAATCAATTCTTTAAATGGTATTAATGGTCTGATTTATACTTATCACTAATTCTGAAACTTTTAGCTGCAGTTATTATTATTGTTATTAATTTACTACTTACTTTTGTCCATTTCACGGGTGACAAAAAAAAATCGAGCAGAGCTGCATTTTTTACACACCTGTTTAACAAAACCTGTGGTTTTTGGCCATTTAACTTCTTATTTGATAATGAGCCAGTGCATGTTTCACCTCTTTCACATGGGGAAAACTTAAGGGCAGCTTCACGTAACCATGGCAACAGTTGACAGTTGATTGAAACGCCTCACAGTTGGTTAGCAGATTCCAACAGGTGTGTGCACAATTGAGTAATTTTCTTTGGTGCAGCTGCGAGTATGCAAAGGTTGCGTATGCCATTCTGACAGGTATGGCAAACAAACAGGACATGGCAAACAAACAGGACACCAGACAGGACACCAGACAGCAAACAGCTATATGTGTTTGAGAAAGTCAGACCAGGAACAAGAGGAAGCTCCAGGAGTAATTTGAGAGCTAAGAATATTCCTGGATGTTTGTTTGTCACTTCACCATTACGCTCATGTGAATTCAGGCACTTTGATTGTGAACAATTGTGGATCTGTTTCCTCCTAGATGATCACAGCAATCCAGTTTTTGACTATTCTGTGTACATTAAGCAGCCGAGCCGACGCACCACGCGTCTGTGCTCTGACGTGTGTTAAGTTATGAGCTTCCTGAATCTTTCCGACGAAAGTGTGCAGCAGAAGACCACACTGTATCAGCGGACGATTATAAGTTTAGAGGCTAATTGACTCCTTGACAGCAGATGAATAATGCATGGAGCTGCACTTTATTCTGTTGGCGAAGCTGCTTCCTCTTCCTCATCCGCTGTTCTGAGAGACGTATGGAGCAGGACACACAGACAGTCACACATACTGTATATATATATATATATATAAATGGGATAAGAGCAGGATAATTGCAGCATGATGATAGCGCCCAATTAATCTGAACAGTTGACCCTAAGTACTTATCACAGCATCTCTGAAACCTTTTTTTTTTTTCCTTTGGTGATTTCCCTCGCAGGTGTTTGTTTCATGTGGGACGAAGTCCACACCACTATGCAAATGTAGTTGAAGTAATTAAAAGTAATGAATGTACAGTAGTACTGAGACTCGGCCGGATGGAAGAATAGGTGGGTTGAGGGATGATTAGAGGAAAGATTGATAAATGAAAGACAACAGATTATTCATTCTTGCCTCGTATCGTGCAAACATTAAAAGCCACAGTTAACTAAATTAATTATCTAAGCACAAATTAGTTATGTTTTCTGTTTTCCTTTCGCTCACTTTCTGAGCTCGACATCCAACCTCCTCGATTTAGGAGAAGCAGTGCGGGTCATACAAACAGTAGAGCTATAACAGACCCGGGCTACTCAGTTACTCATGACGCACCCTGAAATATGACTGTGTTTCAATTTTCAAGGAAAACCCAGCACAGTTCTCTGGACCAGAGCTCGCCCCCACAAACCGGCATGTCTGCCTACAACCACCCTGTGCTGGGTGTTTATAACCCAAGGGACGACTTCCCACTGAGAAAAACTGGTATGTCTTACACACACACACACACAAATAACAATAATAATAATAACTGTGCTAATAATTATTAACTTCTTCACCTGCCAGACATTTAAAATATGTCATTTTGTGAATTCATTGTTTACATTCCTACCGTACAGAAATGTAGAAAACGTATCTTTGACTTCATATTATTATTTCATTATTATTTCTTGATATTTCTTGATTTTAACAGAAGTAGAATTTATCCTTATTTTGCTCCACTGGTCTCTGTACTTTTATTTTTTGGATAATTGTGCATTGAAATCTGTGGTTCGGACAGATCTCACTTAAAGGACGGAGCATTTGGAAACTTAATTTACTGCAGTTGAAACAATTACGTCTGGGGTTCCTTTTGGCTTTTTTCCTGGCTCTTTATTTCTTCTGTTTACTTACCATGCCACGGTCAGGACATTCATCACTGCGTTGTTTCTTGTTCACATTGATGATAATGATAAGACACAGTAAATTTATCTCGGCTTTTATCAACTGACTTGCAGTGTATTCCTGCACATGTTAGTACAGCAGCTATAATGGCTGAAAAGGAAGCGTACTGACTGCTCTTATAGCTACTGTGAGGAAATATCAATACAGTGATAAGCATGACTGCGTTGTCTGTTTACTGTGCTGACAATTTTCCTACAATTTGCATTTTTTTTAAAAAAGGACTCAACATATATCGTCATATTGTACAGCCACATTCTTGCCAGTGCTCACCCCTAGTACATAGAATTTGTTCATTTTAGGCACGTTTGGTCCATGTTGCACTTGCCACCTTTTGTCCTTGGGACATAATAAAGCATTTTAATTAATATGACTTTAACAACTGTTATATTTCATTGTGGGGTTTATTACATACAATAAATCTAACCTCTGTCTTGCCGTGAAGTACTTTGTAAACTTGTTTTTTGGGGGATAAGTGCGGTTCAGATCAAAGTGATTAATAGACTTGTACTTCGTCAAGGGAACACTGCTCCTTCATGTAAGGCAGGGGAGATCTGAGGATTTAACAGATGACTGAGTTTGTGTTGGAAACGTCATTACAGAAAGCCTTGATGAACTGAAGGACAGGACAAGGACTAACACTTGGCCTAAAGCACCAAACGTGGGAAAAAAACAAAAGCCAATGGGAATGATTCCAGCTGTTGTCGTGTGTTCATCTGTGTCTGTGAGCAGTTTGATGCGTGTAAAGTTTGAGCGGCTTGTGTGGCAGTAGTAAAGCCAGGCTTGTCATACAGGGCAATTATTCACTTAGCACAGTGGCAGGCTGCAGCCACTGCTCCAGGCCTGTTGGCTCTGAACAGTTAGTGGACGGCAGACACAACAGTTGACACAAGTCCACAAGGCCTCGCTCAACCAGAGGACAGAGAGGAGCTACAGGAAGGGCACGGAGTTGTTAGAAATATTTTTTTTTTTTTTAAATGGGTAACAACCTTGTAGAACAGCGAAATATATTTATGAAAATGAAAATGACAGCTTCCAAGAAGGACTTGACGTAAATCCAGTAAGTGTCAGGCTCAAGCTACATGGCCTGAAGACACAACAGAAGAAGAGTCAGAGGTAACAGATAGTAATAAGATCGTCCCAGGAGTCCACGTTGTTTTTTGTTGTTTCCATAAGCCTCCGATTTGTGCACCAGTGGAGTGAAAAAAGAGAAGACCTGTGCCATATTTGTATTTGTCCACAGCAGTGACGTGCTTTGCAGGGTTTACTTATGGAAATGCCCAGCTCAAGAGAGGTTAGTTAGAGGCTCCTTTATATCCCTGCCCCGGCCATAAATTAGAAGACTGGCACCCACAACCCTAAGCAACAGTCCAGCTGAGCTACAGAAATATTTTGTTGTTTTCACACATCCCTTCTAAATGCAACTTCTTCCCCGACCAACAGCATACGTCGATTTTTTGATTTTTTTTGAAAATGTATTGTTGTAGAATTCTTAGAATTTAAGCTGTTTAAAATTGAGCTATTTCTTCTAATAGCATGAAAAGCAGCGCTAGTCTTCATGTGTTTTTGTCTTCTTCACTCATTCTACTGCTGTACTTATTTAGTTACTTGTGATTGTAGTTTCTGCTTTTTGTACTTTGGCTAATTCGGCTATTAGGTATATGCCTTTATTTCCACCAAATCTGCGACTCCTTTTTACATTTTGCAATTGTTCTGCTAATTCTCTTATTTTGGCTAGTTCTGCTACTACAGATATTGGCTTTTTTTTGGTCTTTGTAAATTCAGGCTAAACCTCTTCTTCTTCTTCTTCTTCTTCTTCTTCTTCTTCTCCTCCTTCTTCTGCCTCTTCCTCTTCCTCTTCTCCAATAGAGCATTATTGTAATTTCGTAAATGATTATGTGCTGTAAAAGGAAATAGAAACAAGCTCATAAAGGGAGAAGGTGTGTATTAGTGAGATTCACCGCTCAATTGTCCAGAAGGAATCTTGTGACTCCGTTGATACGCCACAAGTTTGTTACCGTCCTATTGAGTAATGTGTAATGTTTTTTTACTTTTATACACCAACGATCATAAAGGACACAATTTAACTCAACTTTTACTTCATCATGAGGCTTTGAGTGGATCTTGCAGTCATAGCCTCAGGAGATGTCCTTGTCCATTAAAATATGTCTTTTCTAATACGATTGGCTTGAATAGCAGTACTGATCATCGTGGAATCTTCATAAAAAAACATGGAAATTTAATAGGATGAGAACACATCACACGAGTTCACATACAGTGAATGCCTTGGAAACATGTGTTGGGTGGGAAAGTTGAAGATTCTAACCTACTGTGCCCTATAGCTGTGGGGTCAGAGTGAGGTCAGAGTGAGGTCAGAGTCAGGCCACTCGTCTGACGACGACATCTGAAGTGTCTTTTTGTGGTCTAACTAGGGCGTTCGTCTCTCACAACCCACGTGGTGAACACCACATGGGTTATGTCAATGACCAGCGCTGCTTCTGCATGAATAAGCGTAACCATGCAGCCGTCTGAACGGCTCTGGCCTTTCACTGAATAACACACCCTTTCACCGTGCCTGTGAGGCACACATCAAACAATGCAGCATTTGTTCACTGATATCATGTGTCGCTAGATGCACTCATGTTTCTTCATGGAGGTTTCAACGTTAGAAGAGGTAAGATCAGGTTTGACTAGAAGTCAAGTTCTCTTGAAGTGTAGCTTTGATTTATTTTGATATACTCACCAACAACTGAACACCTAGAAGACCACGTTATACCTGCGTCCAGTCCTTTGTGTTCTGATGAATAAAAATATTATTTATTTATTTTTAGTTTAAAAAAAATACAGTTTTGCTAAATAGATATTTCTATATAGGATGACTGGAGGTACTACGTGGTAACCTCGACAGCAGAGTTTTCAAAGTTTTTGCATCCCTAACTTTTCCAATGAGGTTTATGTTTATTTTAGTGATGAACAACAGAGTCAGATCAGAATATCAGACTGGAAATAAATTGGCTTAAAAACCATGACTTTGCCTCCATCTGGACTGAGCTCTCCCTCCCACTATGTGTTACTGTAACTTCACACCTCACAGTTCACACTTCACTCTTCTCCACACATTTATTTATATGTGACACTTGATGGGACCAAGTTCGGTTTTGTCATTTTTTTTAATTAATAAAGGTTTTCTGACAGGGGTTATTCAGGGACGTTTGCCTCAGGGGTGAGAGCCTCTCATCATTTCATCTGGAGCTGAAAGGCAGCGAAAGGCAAAGAGGGGCAGACTAATGCAGTTGTGTCGTAACGGTGGTTATCGGAGCACTGCATTCAGATTGAGCTGGCGTTTGATGATTAATTACGGGATAATGAATAGCAGAGTTGTCCAAGGTTGTTGATCTGCAAGGAGAAGTAAACACATTACTTTGAGCCGCTGTTGCTGAGCCTAAGGTGACACTTTGTTTCCTCCTCCTTGTCTTCAATTATAAGACCAAGCGGACTTCAGGAAATCAGACGTTGTGCCTATATGGTTTAGAATTGGTCTTATTTATATATAAAACATCATGGCACTGCTGTAGAATATCAATATGGTATCATGAAACAAAACACTGCAATATTTCAGTTAATCATTATTTTGTTTCCCCTTGCCCTTACTGACTTTTTCCACGCTGAATATCGCACCAGCTGACAGATTTACTCATTCTTAGGTTAGGAATCAAAGCAAAGGTAGATAAAGTTATCAAATCTGAAGAACTTAATTGATCCATAGCCTTAAATAAGGTTTGATAGGTTGATGCCTAAAATGGTTGAAATAGCATTTTAATTCAAAATCGGTTTTATTTTGATTGAAATTTACTTTAGCACAAGGTTTTCTCTGTAATTCAGCTCAGCTGATCTTACTGGCCTACTGTTATTTGTGCAGCATTTAATATAGTATAGTATAGTAAGTATAGCATTTTAATTGCATTTCTGTGAGTGACTGTTTCTCTTTAACAGTGGTTATTACGTTATAGCTATGTAAAAATTCTAAAAATAAAAAAAACACATACAAAGGGCAGCGTCTGTACTGATCAACGCTCCATAATGTGTTGGCTAATTTTATTCCTAACTGTCTGCATCCTGTACCTTTTAGATGAAGTATCTATCATTGTCAGAAGTGCTCCCGGCTGGTTGAATTAAGTTTCATATTGAATATCATTTAATATTCAACACGAGATATTGATTGTATTGTATTGTTATCAACACTCTCTGTTTGACCAAACACCGAACACTTTCCTGCTCTACGTTCATTCAGCTTCGGAACCCAACCTGAAGCTGCGCTCACGGCTGAAGCAGAAGGTCAGCGAGAGGAGGAGCAGCCCACTGCTGCGACGCCGAGACAGCCCCATCACCACCGCCAAGAAACGCTCCCTGGACCTGGCAGGTGGGCACTGACACCGACAATGAAGCTGTTCACACGGAGAACTCTTTTGCATGTCATTTCATTTTGTCGGTGTTGTGTGACAGACTCGGCGTGTAACAGCGCCCCGGGCTCAGGACCAAGCTCTCCAAACAACAGCTCCAACAACATCCCCAAAGAAAACGGCATCGCAGTGTCAGTGGCCAACAGCACAGAGGTAACAGACAGACACACACACAGTGATCCTAGGGTTTAATTAGCATGTAACTACTATTGTTCCATAGAATATCCAAACTTTTCTCTGCTTTTTGGCAAAAAGAGAGAGAAAATAAACAGGCTGTTTGTGATTGGTCAGGTCATGCAATGACATCATGGATAATGCTTAGGGTTCGGCCACTGTTAGATAATCACCTTTTCAGTTACATGTGTTGACCAATCATGTTCAGCCTCCAACTCCCGTTTTCTCCAGCCTCCTTTTCATGAGATTTGTTATTCACATTTGATGGAACTGGGGTTTTCAGTGGCGCCTCCTTATGGCAGGAAGACAAAGGAAAAGAAAGGAGGATGAGACGGTGGGTTTTTTCCCTCTTTGGAGGGAAGCCCACAACGTGACAGTTAAGACACTCCTGTCACAGGAGAAACTTTGGAACTCAAGACAACAAAGCTTTGTTTTGGTCCCTCGTCATCATACATGGATGAGTGGAACAACTACTACTATAATGTGTTTTTATAAAAAACAATTTTACTTCAGGGAATGTAGTGCAGCACAAAATGTCTTAAATGAAATCCCAGGTGAAGACAAGTGTAGATTTTATTACACAGGCTTTTTATTCAATGTCTGAAATCTGTTGTTTGTCTGTCCCCGCTGACAGCTAAAACGTCAACATACGTGTTCTTCAGAAAATATTCAGGACATTCTCTGGCTTCAGCAGTGCTGATAACTCACCAACGCTTCATACAGACCCGCTGAACTCCCCCTTTAAGTATCCACTCAAAGCTCTTTCCTTAAAGACAGACAGTTCATCTCACTAACTCAAAACCTGGGAGTTTCTAATCGCAAAACACTTTTACGAGCGAAAAAACATTTCAGTGTGAGGTAACAGCCGACATGCTGATTTATTTCCGTTCAGCGGAAGATAAAATGATTTGGGGAAAACCACATCTTTTTTCATTGTTTTCTTGCAGTGTTTAATGGGTATTTTTCCCTCTAACAGACACAGCGTTGTAAATGAGAAAGTGGTGCCGTGCACATAACAGGATAATTTAAACCATGAATAAATAATGCATCCTTTTGCAGTCAGAGTAGCTTTACACCATAATGTGTGTGCCCAGCTACAGGTGCTATCTATTAGCTTTTAAAACCTAGCGACCTGCAGATAAAGGGCTGTGAGTAAGGCTTGTTGAGGAGCAGAAGAGCTGGCAGGATGCTATTTGAGGCGGCCATTAGGTGCACTCTGGCATCAGGCAGGAAGCTTGTGGCCGCGACATCTTGAGCAGCCAATAGGGTGATAACACTGCTCTCCACACTCCTGCTCTGCCCGTAGTTTTAGGAAAAGTAGAGGCTATGTTAATGATGCAAACACAGATAAATCACCTCGATGTGCTCCTCAGGCGTCTCTGGCCCAGAGGCTGAGCAGTGGTGCTGAGCGCAGCTCCGTTAACCAGCTGTCCCTCTACCCTTCGCCATCCTTACCCAACATCACCCTGGGGCTGCCAGCCACTGCCACGGCCACCGCTGCTTCAAACGTAAGGAGGAAACTTGCTGCCAATCTGCTCAAAGACTCTCTATTCTCACATGCAGTTCATCTGACTCTCTCTCTCTCTCTCTCTCCGTCTCTGTCATTGCTCCAGGTGACCTCGGCCCAGCAGGATGGAGGCCTGCAGCCCGCACTTTCTCTCAGCCCTCCTTTCCTCTCTGGGGCTCACTTGACCCCATACTTACCTGAAGCAGGAGCAGGAACAGGCGGACACGGAGCTCATAGTCCATTACTGCAGCACATGGTCCTTATAGAGCAGAGCCCTGCACAGAGCCCCCTGGTGACAGGTGAGACTCTTAACATGTGTTATTGAACCTAATTTGTTTAAAGATTTGCATTAGTTGAAGCCATCTGTTGTGTGAAGTATTTGCTAAAGAAAAGCCTCAGAGCAGTCAGTCACTCTGTCTGAATTTAACTCACTCTTTACTCCTTACAGGTTTAGAAGTCAAGACAATGTTTTCTTGGAATAAAATAGCCTTGATCCTAAGATTTAGATCTTCTTCAAAGGGACGTCATTTATACTGACATTTCCCCACATAGAATCATCACAGGAACTAAGGAACATTAGGGTAGACAGACAGTCAGTGCTGAGAGTCCAGGTGACCTGCTCTGTGCAGCTTTAAAACTGGAGCACTTCCAGGTCAGCAGTGAAGCTTTTTGTTTTGCTCCTGATTCACTGGGGTTCTTTGTTCATGAAAGAAATGAAAGATGAACTCGCCCGCTTTAAAACAAAATGGCCTCTTTCATTTCATTCATTTATCCACACAGGTTTTTGCACATTTTGAGTAAAAAGTGAGAGATTGACACTCTGTGTCCTCTGTCTCGTGCTTTACTCACAGGTGTTTTTATTTCACAAGGTGCAGTTCTGTCACACCGTGAAGCCACTGTTCTAGGTAAAGCTGATGCAATGACACATGTTAAGACCAACCAAAGAGAAGAAGGACATTTCAACTGGTTAATTCATGAATCTTGTGACAGCCTGAGTCCATATGTCGTAGTCTGTTCATCTTCCTTTTGCACTGACTCCCCGTAACATCGCATTCAGTACAGCGTTGCCACCACTGTTCTGTAACGCTTACAGAGGTGACTTTGTTCAGGGGAACTTCTAGACCAGGGGACAGGACTAAACTGCTGCTGTCATTCCATTGGAACGCCACATTACTGTTGGATACAACAACAAATGTTTTAGAAAAGTTTTTGAGTAACAAATTCTGTGCATATTGTTGTTGACCAATCACAGCGTCACCTACGATCACCAGAACTAGCACTGATCACTGCCAGCTGAGTTTGTGCTAAATTCATATCACTGCATCAATTCAATTCAATTCAATTGAGTTTTTGCCTTTCTTGGAAACAAACAGCCAATGAAAAGCTTTTCTCTGAGACTCCGGCGTACTCTGCACAACCTCACACGTTGACAGACATCCGTTGATGAGCTCAAACTAATGAGGGCCTCTCATATTGTCAGCGTGCGCTGTGAGACGGTGACACGGCGCTGCATTGTGCACCCTTTTACCATCAGTCGGCTTAGCTGACTGCGACGTCGCTGCTTTTGTTGGCCGATCGTGAGCGATGAATGACTGATGACGCACAGGCAGACACAGTCAGGAGTGTGTTCAATGAGAACTTGAACAAGGACACGGCCCACGCACCGGACACAGACGTGTGCGACAACTAGAACAGCCCACTCACTATAAATTTGATAAAGGTCACACAGAAAGCTCCTTTTTTAAGGCTTTCTAAAATGTTCTTTTCTATCACCAATGTGCCTTTTTATATTTGTCTTGGTTAAGATCCACTTCATTACCTGGGAGCATGAAGAGGCTTTTCAGAAGCTTTTGAAAAACGCTCATAACTAAAATCTTTTTCCAGTGTTTTTGACTGGAAACCTTCTTCTGTTCATGGAGTAAAATGGGCTGGAAATAGTTTTGAGGTCATCTTTATTCAGACTTAGCTCTAAGAGCTGGAGCAGAGTCCACGTGACGGGCAGATCATCCAACATATCAGAGTAGGGAGGCGTTGATCCAACTTGTTCAGTGACGATACAGATACATGACTGCCAGTGAACTGACAGACCACCATTGTAGGCATTGGAACATGTCTCCTGTGACATACATCTGATGTGATCTTAAAGTTCAACCTCTCTCCCAGGTGTCAGTGGTCTGTCCATGTCCTCGGCCGCATCCATGGCCAAGCTGCAGCGGCAGCACAGGCCACTGGGTAGGACCCAGTCGGCGCCTCTGCCTCAGGGGAGCGCTGCCCAGGCTCATGCCCAGGCCCTGGCCCTGCAGCAGCTGGTGGTCCAGCAGCAGCATCAGCAGTTCCTGGAGAAGCACAAGCAGCAGTTCCAGCAGCAGCAGCTGCACCTCAACAAGGTATTTCCACTTCCACCGTGTCGTGTTCTTTTTGCTGTCGTTGGTGGACCGCCTATCAGCTACGTATGTTCTGCAAGATTATTGGTGTATTTCTGCAGTTTTTTTGTGGGTTTTGCGGCTAGCATACTGTATAGCTAATATCAAGTTAGCCGTTTTTTATAAAACTAAAAAATTTTTTATAAAACTAAAAAATCTTTTACAATCAATCATTTTCTTACTACGTTTAGCTAGCTTTAAGCTGTTGATGATCCATTTTTATAAAACTAAAAAATCTTTTACAAACCTCAATTATAAATGTGCTATCATTATTTATCTTTTGGCTAACGAGCTTAGCTTCTTTTGAACTACTTCCTGAAAAGTCTGTATCTGTTTTGTTCATTTTACAGTTGTATCTGCATTTTGTTTCTGGATGGGCCTTTAGATAATTCCCTGAAAAATGTCACCTTTTAACATTTCCTTTTTTGGGTTAATTTGCATAATTGAATTAGCCTTATTTTTAAACAATAAAAAACAGAATCTTATGAAGTAAAAAAGATTTGCTGGATATTAAAGGACAAACACGTGAAGTTTAATCATAATTAATCAGTCCTACAGTATGAGTATAAGCCACAGAGAGTCTGCACAGGAGCTGTGGTAAACTGTAGTGTAGGTGGCAGATTTTATTACAACCAACAATGTTGTGTGTGTGTGTGTGTGTGTGTGTGTGCCCAGGTTTTATTTAGCTCTGTTCTTCCTCTCGCTCCTCTCTGTAGTATTTGTTTGTGAGTAGGCGAAGGAAGGTATGGGTTAACTTGATGGTACTTAGTGTGTATGCGTTTGTGTGTGTGTGTGTGTCTTCATCTTTGCATGTTTATGGTTGAGACAGTTGTCAGCGCCACTGGCTGCAAGTTAACTGCGTGCTGCTATGGCAACCAAGAGGAAACCCTCGCCTTATATGGTCAGGGAGGAATTGTGCAACTGCCACTGTGAGTGGCTTCACCCGTTTGAAGACAGCGTTTGCTGGAGGAGAAGTGGGTGGATGAAACAAGGGATTTCCTCTCCTCCTCCTCCTCCTCCTTCTTTTTTATTACTCCTCTGTACTCACTCCCTCCATATGTTTTCAAGCTCTCCCCTGGCAGTTCTTCATACAAACATCTTTATAAGAGCCTGTGGCAAACCAAGGACAAACACTGCAGTTGTTCTATCAGGACTAGAGTGAAAACCTCCTCTTCTTTCTCCTCTTCCTCTTTGGTATTTTACAGTATTTTGCTGCATGTAAACCCCTTACCACCACCACCACCCCCCCCTTTCCTTTGCAAACCATTTATAATTACACTAACCCCCCTTCATTTCCAGTCTACTCTGTAGTCTCATACAGTAAAATCTGCATTCAATTTCATTATTCCATTAATATGTTAATACAGTCGGTGCCTTATCTCTGTTTCTCAAATCATCGGGGTATTGTATCTAGGGATGGTTCAAACCGATACTCAGCATAGGTATTGGTCTGATATAGGTCAAAATGTAAGAATCGAACATCGGGAAAAAAAACCTATAACTAAAACTATAGCCCGTCTGATGCGATATCTAAGCCCAGATGCTCAATTTTGCGCGACGTGCCAGCCGTAAACAATATCTCCTCAGCAACGGCAGCCCGCAGCAGCATGGTAGAAGAGAACAGGATGTAGTGGATTGATGTCAGTATCAGCAGATACTCCAAGTTGCAGTATTATATCGGACATGAAAGATTTACATCAAGTCATCCCTAGTTTGGAGTTTTTCAGATTTGATATTTTCAAAAGGTGTCAGATGTACTGTATATAAATCACATTTGTTTGTGTCTCTCTGGAGACTCCAATAGATGTGAGGAGTTTTGTTCTTATATCCAGTGGATTAGCCTGGGATTTTTTAAAGCAGCAGCAGCGGCAGAGTGTGAGACTTGATATTTATGAGGACACACACATTTGGTCTGAGAGAAAAGCACAAGCTAATTTACTGCTCTATCTATGTAAATTTGTACTCATTTAACTAAAAAAGTAAACACTTCACGTCTTCGCAAAGTCAGTTTTCGCCTTTGGAAATAATGTGGCAGTGTTGTTGACTTGTGCTCATTATATCAACATGGTGTGAAACAGAAGATGAGACAAGAAAAAAAATCCATACCCACAGAAGAGATCTTAATTTACTCTGTCTCCTGTTCAGACGATGTGAAGATTCTGATGGGTTTTTTTAATTAACACAGAACTCCTGTGGTGTTTTTCTGACAAGGAAAAGAGTTTGTCAAGATTTTAACTGGTAAGAATATAACCATTTTTGGACAGGAAAATAAAATCACTTGGGCTCAAGCTGTTCAGCGCTACTCTAAGGTTGCGCTCTATTCATGTGGCCTATTGCTATAGTCCTGTAACACCTTTTCAATGATTGAATGTTTTTTAGGTGACGTTGCCTTTCTAATTTCAGACAAGTGATCAATGAGATGTTTTAGTTAAAGCCGTGAAACTCGGGTGGTGTCAAAGTGCGTACAGAGAATACAGAGGCGTGGCGTGTGAATCTTGGATCTTTCTCGACATCCTACTTCGTGCGCTGTGAGCTGCTTCAAACGAATTGAAACCAGATTCTGGATCTGTAATCTGATTAGCTCCTTTTGTTTTATGGAAGGCCCTGCCTTGTGTCCTGTCCTGTAGGACAGTCCACTGCTCTCTGGAAGATTTTAGAGGTGTTTACTGTTAAAGACTTTGCGCAGTTTAATTTTCTCAGATGGACGTAAGCGGTTATCAGTGACCCGTCGGGTAATCAAACGAGGGTAGAAAAAAGTCTTTATATCAGTTTTCCTTTATGACAAATAGCCAGACATGGACGGTTTTTGCAAAAGGAAGGGAAATGAAAGAGGAGGTTTGTGGGAAAGTGGAGCAGAGGGACAGACGTGGCAGCAGGGGTGAAGTTTGTTTTGATGTATAGTTGGGGGATTGAATGAGAGCTGCTGAATGCTTTGACGTCAAAGCTGTCCCTTGGAATAGAGCCAGCAGACCCAGAGGCTTAGAGCTCTGGGAAACACACACATACACACACACACACACACACACAGAAAACCCTCCTACACACCTGTGGAGGGAGGCCCTCCTGAGAATGTTCTTTCTCCACTCCTCACTATAGTTTTCACATGACAAACACTCACACACACACAAGTGGGTGAAAGCCCTCCTAAAGCCCATTACAGCACTTGGAATTGTTCAACGCCAGCAGCGGTGAATGAATGGACAATTGAATCACTGCTGGGGTTAACGGCAGGCCTGAGAGTGAGTGGAAGAAAAGTGCCGCAACAGGGAGTGAGGAAGGTGGCATTCTGCTCCGGGAGTACGGTCATCAGAACACACACTCATGTCTAATAACAGCTGATAGGTTTGAAATGACCAACACAGCCATCTGTCAGGATAATCCAAACGAAGCTTGTTAGAAGAAGAACGCTGCAGAGAGTTGATGTGGACAAGAGCCGATCGGTTTGGTCGGGATTAGTCACATTCATTGACTGTACATGAAAAATAGTCATCCCAGTCACAATCACTCTGAACGGCTTTTCTGGGGTTTTTTCTGGGTTTTTTTTTCTCTTTTCTGGTGTCAGCTGTATAGTGTGGCCTTTTTAAAAACAGCCAGTTCAAGTCCACATGACAGTAGACGTTGGTAACCAGGCCCTTAGAGCAGTGGTTCTCAAACATCATTTCCAGTCTTGTTTTGTTTCTTTCCAAACTTCTTTGGCATCGTGTGAATTTTTTTTTGTTTTGTTCCTCCTCTTTCCACAGATGATGGCAAAACCCAGTGAGTCACCTGTGGGTCGTCAGCACCAGAGCCACCCGGAGGAGACAGAGGAGGAGCTGAGGGAGCACCAAGACCCTGGAGCTCTACCACCGGGTGTCACCATCAAGCAGGAGCCACTCGACCCGCAGGAGATGCAGGAGGAGGCGATGCAGCAGCAGCAGCAGCAGCAGCACAGGGAGCGGCAGGCGGAGCAGGAGCTGCTGTTCAGACAGGTAAAAGATGGAGAGGTGATTGAAAAAAGAATAAAATAAAAAGTGAGACATCTGCCCTTGTTTACAGCTGTACAACAGCACAGACGGAGGAAATCAATATCAAGTTTCACAGAATTGATTTTAACTGTGCTTGGCACTAATGTGTTGTGAATGTTGCCGGGGAAGTCCTGAGGAGGAGAAAAACCTGAGCAAAACAGACACATAAATGTAATTTGGGCTGTAAAAATGCTGCTTAGTGCCCTCAGGCTTCCCTGTGATTAAATGCAGGCGGAAAATTGAAACGGCATCATTTGTTTTGGCTGCCATCTTATGGTCGTATGTTGAAGCAACAACATAAAAGCCGTCAAAATCATTTCTCTTCTCTTTATTCCTCTTTAATGCATCTGTCATTTAAATGCATCACTAAAACACTTAGTCTGACGGCTGGAGGATTTGTCTTGCTTATTTCTGTTTTTGTTTGTGTTTTGTGTGGGTGGGAGCAGCAGGCTTTCCTGTTGGAGCAGCAGAGGATTCACCAGCTGAGGAACTACCAGGCCTCCATGGAGGCCGCGGGCCTGTCCATATCGTTCCCCGGACACCGTCCCCTGTCCAGAGCTCAGTCCTCTCCGGCCTCAGCATCCTCTTTTCCCATTAGCGTGCCGGCCCCTGAACCTTCGGTCAAACCTCGATTCACCACAGGTTCGCTTCACTTTGCGATGTTTATGTAATGCTTCCTATTGCGTGGTTACAACACAGCTGGTTTGATTGCCATTATAGCAGTCTGTTTGTCTGGCCTGAGTTTGCAGCGAGCGCCGGCTCCTGAGAAATTACAAAACCACTGCTGGCATCTCAGTAACTGTGTGTTAAAGCTAACTTGTATTGTCCCAGTAGGAGACATTTACTCTCAGCTTTAATAAAGGAGATCCATAATACAAAGCCTTTACAGAAATCAAATGATAGACAGTGGAGTTCATGTAGGTGCAAAAACGCTCAGATACTGATATAACAATCAGAAGGTAACGGGAAGCTAAATAAAAGAAGGAAAAGTTCATCAGGTTAAAATATTAAAAGCCAAATATGTTAATTCATCTGATTAATGTTGGTCCAACTTTATTTCACTGGTGGAATCTTTGTGAAATGTCACCAATTTTTTTCACTGATGTTATTGTTCACCCATGACAACACTGGAGCAGTGCCATGACCCAAAGCATGACACTGCCCCCACCAGGTTAAAAGTGGTCATGGTATTCTCTCTGATGTTGTTGGGTGCTTCTTAAAATTATGGCCATGAGCTCTGCATCAAAGCATCAAACTAAAACTGACTTTTCTGGGAGACCTGAACGTTTTTCAAGCATTGATGCTTCTTTTCACAGTGATTTTTAACAATTCCCCAAAAAAATGTTTCAATGTTTTTCTTGTTTGTTGTTTTGTGGCGAGCCTTGTACTTGTAGAGTTTATTGTGTGTTTATGTTTGCCTAGGTCTGGTGTACGACTCTTTGATGCAGAAACATCAGTGCATGTGTGGAAACACCAACAGTCACCCGGAGCACGCCGGGAGGATCCAGAGCATCTGGTCACGGCTGCAGGAGACCGGACTCAGAGCCCAGTGTGAGGTACAGGGAGAACATGTGCACACAGACATGCTGAACATTTAACACAGACGACAACATATCAATGTGTGTGTGTGTGTGTGTGTGTGTTTCCAGTGTATCCGAGGGAGAAAAGCCACTCTGGAGGAGCTGCAGACTGTTCACTCTGAAGCCCACGTCCTGCTGTATGGAACCAACCCTCTCCGACAGAAACTTGATTGTAAGCTTACACACACACACACACACACACACACACACACATTCATAATCACAACCTGTGAAATTTTTAGTAAATGTCTCTAAATAACCCTGGTTTTCTCTTCTCCAGGTTCAATTACTCCAATGTTTGTAAGGTTACCGTGTGGTGGAATTGGGGTGAGTAAAATGTATAAGAGGAAAATAAAATAGTATTACCAATTTAAATTGATCTGTATAAGCAATTATCATAAACCACACTAATTCTTTAATTTAGTTCACATTAGATTGAATATTTCTTAGCCAACATCTGGTTCAAATACCTTAAAATGTTGTTGAAACAAACACATTTAATGTGTTCCATAATTAGAAAAACAATGTTGTGACCCAATGAAGGTCCACACACTCTTGACCCACAGCTGGTGATTGCAGTTTTCCCATTTTCTTTCTATTTTGCTATTTATATTCTTATATGTTTAGGAGTTTAGATTCGATTTTTCTTTTCCTTTTCCATCTTTGAGGCCGTCCAGTGTGTGAGGAATTGATGAGTGTTTGTTTTCCAGGTGGACAGTGACACCATTTGGAATGAAGTCCACTCCTCCAGTGCGGCCCGTCTCGCTGTGGGCTCTGTCGTGGAGCTTGTTTTCAAAGTGGCCACAGGAGAGCTGAAGGTAACCGCACACGACTGTCCTCGTCTTCTGTCGTGACGATGAAAGCACTCACTCACTTAGTTCTGCACACGTGATGGATCAAGTGGTCCAATAAAACTGTAGCATCAGCTCAATGATAGAGGAGCTGCACTGCAACTTAAAGGATAATAACATTTTTTTAATGGTGAAACTGATGTCCTGGCTTTTAGCCAATGTAAACAAATGTAGCGGAAGTTTTAAATGTGAAAATGTGATGGAGATTCTTTGCTCTGTGATGACAATAAAATGATGTCTTTTTAGTTTAGACAAAATACTTTGTACTGTACTGTATTGTAATTCTGATAATATTGTAGTATTTTTTTCTTAAAAGCAGTAAAATCACTACAAACATAATATTTGAAATATGAGTAAATGTTCCTTATGTTAAAATTATTTCTAAACTCTTTTTTTCTCCTCCTCTCTCCTCAGAATGGATTTGCTGTGGTTCGTCCTCCGGGACATCATGCAGAGGAGAGCACGCCCATGTATGTCTGCATTTTCGACATTTTCACACTCATTTAGTGAAACAAAATTATTCTGGCTGGAACAGAAAAATAATTAAGACTGACTGCAGTCATCCCACTGCACTTCTGAAACATGAAACGTGTCGTGCTTCTTTTTCAGGGGGTTCTGTTACTTCAACTCTGTGGCCATCGCTGCCAAACTGTTGCAGCAGAGACTCAGCATCAACAGGATCCTCATCGTGGACTGGGTCAGTGTCTGGGCTGATGCAGAGCCTGTTGAGTTTGTTCTCCTCTCTGTTTTTATTGCCCAAGGACACAGCGCTGATATGCTTTTGATTTAATAGTGTGTTTAAATTCCCCCCTCAGGACGTTCACCATGGTAACGGTACCCAGCAAGCCTTTTATGATGACCCGAATGTCCTCTATCTGTCTATTCACCGCTATGATGATGGTAACTTCTTTCCTGGAAGCGGTGCTCCTGATGAGGTGAGTGCCTTTGTTTGTAGTCACAACAACAAGCTGGATTCATGTGCAAACAAATGCATTCATTTTAGATGAAGTTCCAGCGATGGCAGTTTTGTAGTAGTAGTAGTAGTATTTTTTCGCCTTAAAACTGCAGCATAATTCTGATGCGATAACTGTAAGAATAAACACCAAATATATTACAGTGTCCTCCTTGACATCAACAAATGTATATGGGTTTGTTGGACTTCCTTTTTATTTTAAAACAAATGAAAAAAAGTATTTTATGCTGTAAAAGTTTACGATAAAAACAAGCTGAACCACCATGGCTGGTGAAAGACCTCTGATTGTTTAGCCAAGAGTAGACGCAGACCGTCTAATAGCAACAACACGTCATGTTCATTTGACTGTAAGTCACGCGTTGGTCTGTCCTCAGGTGGGCAGTGGAGCAGGGGTCGGCTTCAACGTCAACGTTGCCTTTACCGGAGGTCTGGACCCACCGATGGGAGACACGGAGTATCTAGCAGCCTTCAGGTGTCTCTCTTTCTCTTTCTCTCTCTCTCTCTCTCTCTCTCACACACACACACACACACCCTCACTCACCGAAAACAGTGTCACATCAAAGAGACTGAGGACTGTCTCTGCATTATTGCCGAGTCAGCACTCTGTTAGAATTGTCCATAAACATAATAACAGGGACTTTCTAAACTAACATTATAAAAACAAAACAATAACAGATAAACCACTGTGGAATAGCTATAAAATCAATATCAAAGGCGCCTTTTTCCTCAAATGTTGTTAACCCAGTTGTGGTCCAATAGTTTTTTTATATTTCCCTTTACTTTTTAATACCAACATCAGTGTCTTTGGAAACGAAAACAAGCAGTATAATTTGGGTTTTTGCCATTATTTTACTGTGCGTTTAAAATTGACAGATAGAGTTAGAAAACCTTTTTACCTCCGTCACATCAACTTTTAACAACTGTGATACGACACATCTTTTAAAGTCCACTGGGTATTTTAAAATGTCTCTTTTTTTTCTGCTCCTGAAACACAAACACTTATGATAAAATATTGCGAAATCACCAAGTGTGGAGATAAATTGTTTGAAATGAACAGCGACTGCTAATAAAGTCACATTTGTGTCGTTACGTTTGTAATTACGGCAATAAAAAATCCAAACATGCTGTAAATACATTTTGCTGGAATTCGTTGAAGTTATGAAACTCGAGAAAATGAATCACTTTATCACGTTTATGACTACTTATTACAAATCAGTATGGACGGAGAATATATTTTCAGAAAAACAAATACAGGTTAGAAGTTAGCACAGATGTAGGTAAGTAGTCAAGAAAATTCAGTAGCCACAGTAAAGCATCTACATCTACTACATCTTTAGCACTTGTACTTTGTTTCCCCCTATTTATGAAAGAGTAAATAACAGAAAGCAAAACAAATCTTTAAAATACAGAAAGTTTCTTGACAAATTAGCACAGAAAGTATAAAAGGTCGCCTGGAATTACGACTTCAAAAGCTATTTGTTGGCTAAGATGACGGCTAAAAGCTCTCAGGCGTCGGTTCATTTTGAGAAGTGGTCTGAAGTGCTTGAGTTTGGCCTTGGAAAAGATGTTTCCACCCACGGCAGATTTCCCAAATTGCTGGGTGAAAAATAATTTAGAACAATATGAGAAGAAAACTTCTGGTTGAAATTGCTCGACTACATCGCACTTTATTGTTACGTTTTAGTCATAAAAGGTGTGAGTAGCTCATTATGTAATAAGACCTGCAATCAGTGATAAATTATTTTAAAATGCAAGAAAGTTTACTGCATAATGAGGTTGGGATTTTTATTACGCTGTGACAGAATGAAGTGAGGATTTATGACATAATTACATAATGCATCTTTACACTGCTCTTAAATTTCAATGTCCTGAAAGTTTCTCCCACTGTAAGCTGCAGCGCACTCAAACATCCCTGTATCTGTTCCTTAAACAAGACTAACTGCACATTTGTCACTGCAAACAGTGAAAAATGGTGTCGATGTCTTGTTTAGTCCATCATCAAAACAAAGCTACCAAATTGACTCCTACCTGGGAAAGACCCATCCTGCTAAGGATTAAAACTGAGAAGTTGGAAGACGGTCTTCGTAGTAATTCTGCAGTAAAACATGAATTCTTCTGCGGGGAAACTCTACTCCGAGTCATAAAACAGATAATAATCTTTTACATTCAGCCACCGGCTATTAAAGTGTCTAATTTATAATACTCGTATACCTCTGATTCTCATTCACAGGTCAGTGGTGATGCCCATAGCCAATGAGTTCGCTCCAGACATCGTTCTGGTCTCCTCAGGCTTTGACGCTGTCGAGGGACATCCTCCGCCACTAGGAGGCTACACTCTGACGTCCAAATGTGAGTAGAAGATACTCCGTACTGCACAGGAGCAGGTAGTAAAGGTGCATACTCACCGTTCTTCCTTTTCCTGCCCGTTGAGGTTTCGGACATCTGACAAGGCAGCTCATGACCCTGGCTGGAGGTCGTGTAGTGCTGGCTCTGGAGGGAGGTCACGACCTCACTGCCATTTGCGACGCCTCGGAGACCTGTGTAGCCGCCCTGCTCGGCCAAGAGGTGCAGAGATTGACGTTGTTGCTCATTGTTTTTGTTTGAAAGTATAAGGAAACGACAAACAAAATAAAATGAAAACCAACAAGAGGATATAAAGATATATTAAAAAAATAAAAGCATGTAAAAGACTAAAAACAACAACACGTGATGAAAGTATTTAAATATTCAGATATAATAAAAACATATATTGACAGAATGACAGAATGACTGTCGGTGTGACACTGACCATATGTGAGATGCAGCAATTCAACGTGCTGAAAATGCCCCAAGAATGATCTGTATATCTGTCATCAAGATCATAGAGGTCATTAGGTCAAGTCAAATTAGGTGCATATCCAAAATTCACGCCTCATCGGACTTGATGGAATGTTAGACGTGACGATGAAGTAAAAATTGTATGTACAGTTAGTATTACATTTATATTATACGAAGAATAGCAGACTTTCTGTTCAGTTTGTCATTGACTTTGTCAGGTACAGATACACACTGTACGTCAGGGTTCAGTTCCTATTTTTAAATATTGTTAAATCTCTATTTTCTAAAGGAAAAAAAACAGAACATTTTCTTTTCTCACACATGCCTCATCACTGGCCATTAAAACCTGCCCAGTGTTGGTTGAACTGATAAGAGTTACAGCCTGTGTTGACATTCTTTCTGTCTGTGTTTTCATTTCCTGCAGCTGGATCCACTGCCCAAGGCCGTCCTGGAGCAGAGGCCCAATGCCAACGCCGTCCGCTCCCTGGAGAAGGTTCTAGAGACTCACAGTGAGTATAGACGCTACAGAGGGTTTTTTTTTCTTTTCTTCCATCTATAAACTTGCTTCCACTCTTATCTCAGGTAAATACTGGCGCTGCGTGCACCGCAGCTCCTCACGACTGGGGCTGTCACTGCTGGAGGCCAAACAGGGAGACTCGGAGGAGGCGGAGGCCGTGAGCGCCATGGCCTCTCTGTCCGTGGCCAACAGCAGCGCCATCGAACACAGGTAGAAGGCTCTAAACGCCGGAGTACCTGTGTACATTTTTTGTAGAAGTGCTCCCCCTGTGGTCCCTCCTGTGACAACGCAGACTGTAGTGTTGAAGAGTTCATCCAGTTCACTGCATTTGAACTGTTTTCAAGGGTTTACAGAACTTGAAAAGCAATCGACATTTTTATGCATTTCAAGTCAAATTACACAGTGAAAGAGAGGAGGAGATGACCAGATATGTAGCAAAAATAATAAATCATTTTGAAATAAAAATAAAGCTTGTCCAAAAACGGGTAAAAAGAAAGTGATCTAAAAAAAAAAGAAGAAAACAGGTCCAATTTAAACATTACAAAAGATACAACCAGAATGAGTGAAAAAATATATATATAAAAAGCTAAATATTTGTAAGGAATTTGAAATATGCCAAAGGTGGGAGAAAGTACATGAAAGATCATGTGACCTGTGCAAATATCACAACACATACAGTAGCAAGAAAAACAGAAGAGACTGAGATGAAACCCTTTGGACACCACTGAGCTGAAGCTGCTGAAAATGAAATGTAAAGATGGAGACACTGCAGTTTGGAGGCACAGAGTTGTGAGTGAAAGTTGAAGACAAGATAATGTGTGTCACCGTGGCAGATTAGCATGAGGACGAAGTCCAGGAGGGTCAGAAGGGTCACACATGTAAAAGTACAGGACACACTGCACACAAACTACAGGTCAGCCCGTGTTTGTGTAGAGGTCACTGCTTTGAAGGGTTCTACATGAAAACATCTTTAGGTCATTCTGTCAGATGTGTCCCAAAAAAGTTGGTGCTTTTTCAAACATCACAGTCAAATCTTGGATCTGTTGAGTTTTAAAATCAGAGGAAGAACACGGTGATACTTGAAGGGACCAACAAACCTCTGTATGATTATCAAATTTATATCAATAGATTCAAAGTTGGGACAGAGGCAGGTTCAGCTCTGAGTCACAGTTCCAGAATAATCCAAGAGAGTCCTCCGTTTATGGCGTTTCATGGTCACGACGCCATTTCCCATAACTTTTTAAAGAAAGTTTTAAAGTTGATGTCTTTATGTCCTAGATCATTGTTTCCCAAAGACTGGGTCACGACCCTCAGGTGGGTCGCAAGAGGTTTTTTTTTTGGGTCATCTCGCATCAAGTTTCACAGGAGTTTACGAATAATATCTATTGACTTGGGTCACAAAGGTTTGTGACTTTTTAAATATGGGCCCTCAGATAAAAAAGGAACCACCAAAGGAACAGAACTCCTTAGAAGTTCTTTGGAAGATTGTTGTTGACAGGAGCTAACGTCACACATTTAGCAGCAGTTTCTGCCCATGTTCTCTACACATAGTTTACTCCTGACTTTAGTTTTCAAGTTTTCAGATTATGTTATTTAGGAAATGTACCAACTGAATTTGTAAACATTTGTGTCTTGATGATGTCAGCAGACAGGAGGAGGAGCCAATGGAGGAGGAGGAGCCACTGTAACATCAAAAGAGGACAGGAGTTTTTCACACTGTAAGCATTGACCTCTTGGGAGAGAACGAAGCCTCTTTGAGCTGCGAGGAGTCTCGACTCAAGCCTTCATTTAGTCCCCCTTAACTCCCACTTACCACGTTGGTCACCTTGATTGGCAGCCGAACGGAGGGGGAGGAAAGATAATGGGGTGGGCTCAGCCTCGGAGCAGGGAGCCAATCAGGAGACGGAGGACTGAATTAGAAAAAATTAAATGATTAAAGACAGGAGCATCGTGGCTTTGGCCACGCCCACTCTGAGAGACTTTTTTTCTGTCAGCCTTCACACCGGGACGTTAGCCCCCTACGGCTAACAGTTGTCCATGGACACGAGCTAGTGAATTTGGAGCTCGGATTTCCGTCTTAGGAAAAGTGCGGGGACACCTGTGTGAAGACACGTATGGTGCTTAGTGCAGCTGCCCTCCGACTACACACACCTACACATACACACAAATACGAACATGTATGGACAACAGGGACGGCACATTCCCAGTTCGGGAATCTTCTTTCCTCAACATGTTCTGCCCCTTTTCAAAATAAGGGCTTCGACGAGGACATTTTAACAAAATGTGTTTACTGTGGACTATTTTTAACGGAGATCCAACTGGGCCACATTGTTTTTGTTATTGTTGATGTTGTTGTTGGTGTTGTTGTTATCGTTGTTGTTGTTGTTGATAATGACGGCTGGCCAGTTAAAGGAGGAGTGCCTTTGAGGATGGTCCACTGGATTTCAGGATTGTTTCAGGAATTATAAAAAGAAGAGATTGCCTTAAGTTATGACGAATCAAGACGAGAGGAGAGTTTGTCACGAAGACGTCGGGAGGGGGAAGAAAGACTTTTAAACCAAGCCAACAATCTTTTCAGCATGTTTACCAGGACGGCGATGGAGGAGACCTTTGTCTCTCTGACAGCCTCTCGAAGGGTTGACTTTACTTTAGGATGGAACTATTTTTAAGATTTGTTGAGGTAGTTGCCAGCTTTGGTAGGTTAAAAATAAACGCCTGCAAACACGGTGAATGAGGTGAAAAACTATTGTAGCCTCCCTTTAATCCACGTAGAGCATGCGTTTGAGCAGAAGTGAAGCCACGTTTCAATTTTTTTTTCGTTTATTCCTTTATTTTCCAAGAAAAAGCCACGTCAGAAAAGCCAAAGCATGCGTTCCTTGCATAAACCTTTTTCACTCCACTCTTCTCGTGCTGGTCCTTTTGAAATAAAAGGCACTCTTTAATGTTTACTGGTCAGCAGTGGAGCGAGTTGGCAACTACCTTTGGTTTATAAGTGTGGGCAAAAACACTATATATTTTAAAGGGCAGGAATCAAGTGTTGCCCTCTTTGTATCTACACACACATATATATATATATCTATATATATAGAAATGGATTTGACATCATCCATCCATTCACAGTGTCCACCTGATTTTTTTTTTTTTTACAATACGAGATTATTTTTCTAACTTTTTCCATGTGTACGTTTTTTTGTGTTTTTTTATCCGTTTTCTGGATAGATATAGGGCTGAAGTTTTACATTCCCTCCACCCAAAACCTTTCTTTCTTTCTTTCTTTCTTTCTTTCTTTCTTTCTTGTATTTTTCAAGGATCAACGAGCAGCACCATTTTTCTTTGTTTCCTTCATTTCTACACGGCTTTTTTACTGTGTTTTTCATCGGCTGTGTATTTATAAACGTGCACTGTTTATTGCAGATTTGTATATGGGGAAAAAATACCTTTATTATTGTACTCAAACTAACGACAGCTATATGTTATTGTGAGCAAAAAAAAATCATGCTATGGTGTATAATGTTACTCCATGAACGTCAACAGAAACGCAGCATATTTACTGTAACTGCACTGAAATGTGGTCATTGACACCTTTAAAAAAAAAAAAAACGTATCGATCACTTTGTTGCCTAACAGAAACGTTTTTCTCTCGCGCATGGACGATGTGCACTTACCTTTCAACTGTGACAAAACATGACATCCAAAAAAAGTACGAAAAAATGATGTTTTATTGTCTGTTTATGTAGCTCCGTGTGTCTGTTATTCTGTTGAGGAAAAGGAAAGAAAAGCTGGAGACATGGGTGTAAAAAAAGCAGGATAGTGGAAGCAGAATGTTTTACTTGGCTGGTGTCGCTCTTACACCGTGGCATTAGTGTCTTCCTCTTGCCTTTTCCTGCAAGAATCCAACCATTCCGTCCAAATGTTTTGGTTTAAAGTTCATATCATTTTAGGAAATGTGTAAAATGTAGGGATTTAGGTTGACGTTTATCCTCATGAAACAAACATTCCACTTGTTAATCTCTTCTCACTTTTTTTTAAATTTAATATCGTCTTTTTTTTTTACCGTCTGCTCGTGCAAACTTTTATCTCTGCATGGTTTGTGGTCAGCATGCCTGCTTGTCTGTGTAAGAAAAACTTGTATTTGCACAAAACGTAGAAGAAGAAAAAAAGGAAGAACACTGGAGGACTTTTTTAAAAAGCAAAAACGAAAAAAACCTCCCACAACGACTACGACGCCCCCTACTGTCCACTGCTAAAACTGCACCAGTGGGGATTCTTTTAAAATTCTTGTTTCTTCTCTGATGTCTATTTTTTTTTTTTTTTTTTTGTCCAACAAATCAGAGAAGTTTGACATCATTCTTCTCGAGCTCTTCTTTTTTGACGGACGCAGCACTTAAACGACACGTGTGTGGACTGTTTTTAGGAGAGAACATTTTAAAAATTCTCTGCCAAACTTTAACCACAGTCACACCTTGATGAAGACTCTCCCAAAGAATGTTCAAAGATTTTTAAACCATTAAAGAAGTGACGCTTTTTGACAAGAAAAGAAAAAAAAAACATTGGGTTTGATTGTCACGCCCACCAAGGCCAGTTCTATATATATATAAATATATACATATATATATAAATATATAAATATAACCACTGTGGCTCAAGAGCAATTCTTGGTTTACATGTAAATTAATTAAAAAAAGTTATTTTTTGTTTATTGTTTGTCTGTACTGATGATTAAAAAAACAAATGTTATCTTTCTTTGGGACCTACGCTTTGGACATTTCATCCCTGACATCGTCTATAAAATATATTTCTGAAAAATAAACCTGTGGTTGAGTTTCTCTTTATCTTTTCTTGTCTTTATAACCATACCTTTGCTAACATTTAGCCATCAGCTGTGCTGCTATTCAGCACCTCTTTGCACAAACATAAAGCTACAACACAATAGATTTGAAATACTTTTCATTTCATTTGTTGTCCTTTTTGCTAACTTAGTTTCAATACGTTGACAACACAACAGACCCAGACTAAATCTTTACTAAATCTATTTGTAGATCTCATATCTACCGGTAGCTTGCAAAAGAAAAAACTGGAAATCATAAGCAATTAAATAAAAAATCAATTTAATTATAGATGTAATTCTGTATATTAGGTGTTAATCACTGAGGCTAACGTAAGGACCACATAGGTGTTGAGTCATGTTGTACCACATAACCACAGCCAATCAGAGTAGTAATCAAGTCACTGTGGGCACTGTTGTTGTAAATGTTCTGCAAACGCTATTTAAATTCCTATAACCATCTCGTAGATGTTCAGGGGGTTAAAGGACAATATTACGAAAATACCTTCTGCTCTGTTAGTCGCAGATAAACATGATTATCTCACTGGTCAACTTATCAGTTGACTAAAACAACTGAGGAACATTTCAACAGCTGAGAGTCAAATCAATGGCCGGTACAATACCCTTTTAACTCCTCTGTTCCTTCTGACCACAGGAAGTCTGAAGCTCCGGGAGATGTACAAAGAGCGTGGAGTCTCAGCTGACTTGTCTCTGAGTGGAAAATCTAATAATGACACTCAATATCACAAGAGCTCACGCTGTAATTGAGGCAAAGTCCATGGCAGCAGCAGCAGAGGTGGTTTATCAGGTGACCTGTTTGTCAAACAGGACTGTGATGAACAAAAATCAGTCATGTATTTGTATCAGTGTTTGGTTGACACTGTACATAAAACAATTAATAACATCTATGGTCTTATTGAAGTGTTTTTACTGTTTATAATAAAGTGACTATAAATATAATAGTATTTATAATTGCATAAGCAAATAATAACCTTTGGCTAATTTCAATGTCCAACTTGGATTTCTTAGTATTTTTATTTTTAATTGTCTTGATAGAAGTTTTATGTGTGAAACATTTTGAATTTTTACTTTTTTTCACTTTGTTTTTTTTCTCTCAGTTTTAACATTTACAGCAACAACAACTAAGGAGATCTAAAGTTTAACTTTAAGATTTATTTTGTTATTCTTCTGGCTTTATTTACTTCTGGCCTACTTTTAATTATTTTTATTTTTAGCTAATTTACTATTATCAACTGATTTTAGGCATTTTACTAACTTCAAGCTAATGTGTATCTACATGTGGACCAACCTTTGGTCTTTATGGCTAATTTTTATAAATGTTGCTATCTCATAAGTTCTCATAAAACAATATTTTATAGGCTTTTATAATGTATTTTTAGAAGCTATTTCTCAACTAACAAAGTCATATTCTGTTCTGGGCAAAAGTATTCTAACTTTATTCGTAGTCTAATTCCTCTTATTTGCCAAACTTCTAGCCGTACTTAATCCACTCGGTTATGTTTTGACTGCTATACTTAGTCTGTCTTTCTCATACAAGTCTTAATGTGTGACATAACAGTCGCACGTCCCTTGGGGGACATTTGGCTTTAGAACCTCTCCTTTTATCACGCATCTAAAATGCAAAACAAAAGATAACGGAATTTGCACGAAGTATAAATGCGAGTTCTGCTCTAAAAAACGTAATAGTTGTCTGTTAATCCCAGGATACACGACTTGCTCGTGGTATTTGTTTAGAGCTTCTCTCGTCAGATGAGTTTGGACAGTCGTTGCGCAGTGTTGCTGCTGTTAGGGAACACGGATCTGTCCAATGAGGACGGATCTCTCCTCTTTACCCTACAAACATTGGCCTCTTATTTCCTCTCTGTCTGCGGCTCGGCTGCTGCTGCACCAGTGCGATGTTCGCTCTGCAACAATAACTAACCCGCTCCCCTCGTTTCTGTTCCCTTTCTTGGGGATACCGCTTGACAGACTTTCTTTTTATATTCTTTAATTTGCCATTTATTTTTCTTACCAACGCGGGCGATTTACTATTCAACATGCCGAACATCGTGCTTTTTAGCGGGAGCTCCCACCACGACCTGTCCCAGAAAGTGGCCGATCGCTTGGGTTTGGAGCTCGGGAAAGTGATCACCAAGAAGTTTAGCAACCAGGAGACATGGTGAGAGCACGATTTTACTTTTTGGTGTTTTGTCGTATGGTACGTGTTAGACGCTGCACATCGAACTTGTTCATGGTAGCGCCACGGAAGCTAACTGTAGTTTACGACTCCACGTGACTCGTTAGCCACATGTAAACACAGTAGGCTACAGAGTTAGCATGTGGCTAACGGATGCGCCGTATGCTGTCAAATTAAAGCCTCTTTATTTGGATTATTTGCGATATTTAGTTGGTTCTCGCGTGACCAGGTTTAGAAACAAGTAAAATAAAATTTAATTCTGTCATGAACAGCGTTGTTACAACGTGATGAAACCGTTTTGAACCGTTAACTATGTCATGATGGCTATGCTAGAAATGCTAACTTTTGTAAGTGGAGGAGGCCACTTTTTTTTTAGCTATGTTGCTACAGTGAAAGTGATTGGGACATAAATGGCGATATAACACGGCGAATAAAAAGTGTTGTGTAAAAAGACGAACAGGAAAGACTTGGTTTTGTCACGCTGTGAAGTTGAGTTAGAAGATGCACACTATATGAAGTGGAAACATTTTCAGGGGTTAACACAATATCACGTCACACCTGGACGTAAAGGCGGAATTTTTAATAAGTTTGAGCAGCTATTGGAAATAAACATACTTTTATTGTCGCAGGTATGGATTTGTTAGTACTACAGGTTCTACTGTACTCGGTGCACTTCAGAATAAAAAAAAAACTAGTAAGATGTTAAACACCCTTATGTCTGATTTATCCCCTTTTTGCTTCTGTTGGTAGTGTGTTTTGTTAATAGTCATTAGTACAACTATTGAGAAAGTTAGGATTATTTTAACCAGGTCATATACAAGACTGACAATACAGTTTTTAACTTGAATATAAATCAACATCTTTAGGATATTGCCAGAATTTGTCCAATATGTACATTTAAAAAATATAATGGAAGGCTATATTTAGCTTTTAGCCTACCAGTAGTATTATTTCTGCCACATACAGTCTACTGTGTGTCATACTGTATGTACTAAGGGCTATATACTAATTATGTAAACACTGGGCCCCAATAGTAAATGAATGTGTTTCTTTTGAGTAGTGTTTTGACCAGATGCAAAGCTAGATCCATAACCGTAACAGAGACCGGGGTCAGCCGAGTTGTTCGTAAGTGGATAATGCTAATGAATTACAGTTTGCCACAATTTGCACTAAGTGGTTACCTCTGGACACCCGCATATAGAGAGTTGTCCTATGAATCTGGTAAACCAGTATTTCTGGTGTTATGTCATTTGTAAAGTTGTGTTGTGGAGACAGTGGTGTTGGTAAACCTTCAAGACATTTGTAGAAAAAAGTCTTCTTACTGCTGCTTGACATGTTTGGTCTATTATGTTGGTTACTTTGGATCACATGCACTGCATATGGTCACATTTCTGCTGTTATTGGACTGTTCCCCACTGACATAATTAAGGTCAGGCAGCTTGTTTTAAACCTCCAACAGGACGGTATTCAGGTCTTTGTCCATGTTAACAGATTCTGTATTACAGTGTCCTGCAATTTGTCCGTTGCATTTTATCCGAGAAATTTTCCTATGGTGGTAAATGGGTCGTGATCCGTTTGTATTCTGGTTGACCTTCTCTCCCGCTGTTGGCTTGATCCACAGCACTCCATGCCGAGAATACTGTTGATCAGTCTTGTGGTGGTTTTCTCTCCAGGGAAAGCAGCTGTTTGGGTGACACATGTTGCAAAACAAAAATTATTTTCACACTCCTCCACTAATGGGGGAGGTGGGAGCAGTATACTGATAACAGATCTTCTCACAGTTCTGCTGCAGACTTTGTCAGGTGATGGAGGGTGAGATGGTGGGAGTAGAGTCCTGGGAATAAAATAGTTTATAGCTACGTTGATCATTTAGTAGAAGGAGAGACTAGAAATGCCATATGTTTAGCAGAAGGATTTTCTTTTGCATGAATTTCCTAAAAAAAATGTATTTACATAATTATAAAAATGTATTATTTTAAATTATTCAGAAAAGTATGTGGTGTCTACTTGTGAAGATTATTTTTAACATTAGTGCTGCCCCTTTGTCTAATATTTAATTTTTGTTATTTGTCAAATTCAATAATGACAGAGCTGCAATGAAAACCAAAAGCAGTAGTGACGTAGTAAAGTTAGATGAGTTTATCCTAAACTTAGAGAAAACTGAGCATCCTTGATGACAAATTGTCTTATTTGAAGAGGGAATGCAGGTGTTAAGTTTTCAAAGTGGAGTTTCAATAAAAAAAAAAAACAGAACTGGTGTAATAAGAACACTTGTATGGTGTACAGCTTCACTGAAGTGGTCAGAGATTGACCAAGAGAGATCACAAGTCTGGAAGTTAAATGTAGTTCTTGTTTGTGTATGGTTACATTTAAAAGATTTACATAATCATATGTATTTAAAGATTATACAGATTCTACTGGCAAGTAGAGAATGTACAACATGACAAACTCATCAACCCACTGGTCACCAGTTGAAAGGGCTGTGGTGTCTCCACAAAAATCACATTTTATAAATATTGCTGCTGTCCCTTTTTATGGCTCCATAGATGCTGCAAATCAGGAGTGATAATAGTTTCTCCAAAACAGTCGCTATGTTACAAAGCTGCTGATGGTCAGTTCTGTAGAATTCTTAACCCCATTCTTTAACCTCGCAGCAAAAAATCTCAGCGCCTTGAGATTGCTGAAGAGTTCAACAGTGTGCTGGAGGTGCACGGGCCTACACAGCAACTCCTACATTTTTAGACACATCTGCCCACGACCGAGTGGTGCTTCTGAAAAGTCATGATTATGGTTTGATTATTAAGCTCTATTTTAAATCCTTCAGGTTTTCTACAGTGCAATTCCCTTCCTTAGATTTTACAGTAAGACTAAGTTCTTTCTATAAGGGATTATGAAAATAGACATAAAACAGCGCCTCCTGTGTTGTTTCATAGAGATTTCATACAATTTTTATTTTTTACTCTGTCGCGGGCGTGTAAGAGCTGTGGTTTTCCTTCAGTGACAACTGAATCGTCTGGTGGTCATCTGCAGAAGAGACGAGTTCCACACACAGTTCATAGTTTGTGTGTAAGTGACCTTTTCTGCGAGGGTTCAAAAATGTGTTACATTTAGAGGGCGCCCTTTTTATTCCTCTGTTCTCCTGTCCTAGATGCATGCAGGAGAAGAGAGAGAATGAATGCACATGTATTTTGCTCAGCTTTCATAACTTCATTTGATGGATGTAAACTTGGCATCCAGGCTGGGTTATAAACGTGAATGTTTATACATTTTTACTTCTGTATTAGTGTAATTTAAGGTTGGAGTACTGTCACCATTCTGTGTCAATATCTCAATTTATATGTAATACCTCATCCCCATGTTTTCCTGGCCCCCTAGTGGTGGTCCCAGGACTAATAAAATCTGACATTTTGTGCCAGGAAAGGCATTTAGTAGAGAAGCTGCCAGGTATTGGGCAGATATTTGATGGCAACATTGGTCTTTCAGCATATTGCTGCATTATGAGCAAGTGACAAAGAAACAGGAAGTGACTTGATGCATTCAACTATGGCCTTAAATGGTGTCTGACCCCCCCCCCCCCCCCCCCCCCCCCCCCCCCCCCCCCCCCCCCAGCCTTTATTTTCTGCAGTTGTGCCAGTTATTTGTAAGTCATTGTCATACTGGGTTTAAATGACCTTACAATAATTGTAATCAAATTTGACAATATTGTAGCATTTTAAAATATTCTAAAATCACATCTTTATTAATATTGTGTGGCAAATCAGTACTTGGTACAATAACATGAAGTCACCCACATGTGTAAAAGTGTTCAGTAATCTCTGCTGTTTACACCCAGAGAGTTGGTCATGGAGGATTACACAGGATTACGTCATCACAGCATGCACAAAAAAGCCGTTACACTTTTCCTCCTGGTGGCGTAGATCAGTATGTGCCATCTGCCCATATAAAAACTACATGCAAGATCCAGAGGAAATGACTTCAGACAGAAGCAACAGCTATGCATGAAGACATTTTACCTGAATCATTTAACCTGTTGAAGGAACCAAAGCTTTGAGCCTCTTCAAGTCACAGTGTTATGTTCTGTATTAAGCCCTGGGTCTTCTGTCTGTGCACAGTGTGGAAATTGGGGAGAGCGTCCGTGGCGAAGACGTCTACATCGTGCAGAGCGGCTGCGGTGAGATCAACGACAACCTGATGGAGCTGCTGATCATGATCAACGCCTGCAAGATTGCGTCCTCGTCCCGCGTCACTGCGGTCATACCTTGCTTCCCCTACGCCAGGCAGGACAAGAAAGACAAGGTAGTAAGTCTGCATTACTTGCTTATCAAAATGTGGTTTTGGATGCACTTCATCAAAGAAGAAATATTAAAGAGCAGCGTCTCATCTGAATGAATACCAAACTGTTGGTCGTAAACAGCAACACTGCTGGTTGACATTTTAACTCTCACCTGAGGCATGTATTAATGAGAAACAGCACCTGAGTGTTAGCATAGCATACCAGCATGCAGGTCAACAAACTGCTTCATCTTGTCAGTCATTGTCATTGTCTCGATTCAGGCTACAGTGTTCTGTGTGACATCAGCTCAGGTCCACACACCGACGGCCAAGAAAAATAAGTAGATTTTGTTTTGACCCTGGGGGAAAGTTTTGAACATTGAGTGACTTTCCCTGGCGGTCCTTCACCTCAGTCTGTACATGTACATGCAGTCAGTATGCAGTACATTCCACAGAAACGTCTCACTTTCCTCACATGTTGGTGAGTTGCTTGACTGGACTTTTGGAAAAAAAGAAAAAAGGTGTCGTGTTTAAAAGTCTCACCAGCTTGACTTTCTGTGCTTCATAAACTTTTGCGACGTCTTGACGTCAAATGTTCCGCTACTTTGAATTGTTCTTCAACCAACACTTGTGTCGTTTGCAAAAAAGGACATGTTTGAAAAGAAAACATTATTTGTGCATTTCATGCCAGACCATCAGCTGAAAGATCATAGTGAGTTGGTAGTTGCTAACCGTTAGCCACAGAACACTGGGTTTGTTTAATGATAGATGGCTGTAAAAAAAAAAGAAAGAAATCTAGTCAAAAAGTTAGTTCTTTTTAGAAGTTTAGAGTTCTTTTAAAAGTTTCAGTCGAGTTGTGTCGCGCCATAGGTGAGGCAAGGCGAGGACCCCCTGTATGTCCTAACTCTGTACCCCCACGTCTCCTCTGAACTGATTCCCTTGATGTTTTCTGACAGAGTCGAGCTCCGATATCAGCCAAACTGGTGGCCAACATGCTGTCAGTGGCGGGAGCTGATCACATCATCACCATGGACCTGCACGCCTCACAGATACAGGTCAGTCAACAGTGCTGCTGCAGAAACTCCTCTGTAAGTGCAGCATACAGCCACTGGTGGTGCTGTTGAGCACTTTTAAATCACTTTTGTTTGTTTATCTTGCACAACCACAAGTCAACTAGGACTCTTGAATGGCTTAATGTCTTTGTTTTCCCTTTGTAAGGATCAACTTCAAAATGGTATGACTTGATATACCAAACGATAAACAGAAACCACATTTTGCCTGTGAAAAAAAACCAACCCACACACACCTGTAACCTTAGTCCAGTTGTTGACCTAACAGGTGCAGGGAAACTAAAATAATTATTAACTTTATTCTTCAGCTGCTTGAAAAGAAGGAAGGTGAACTACTTGTCATTGTGACCTCTGCATTAAAACCTATCACCAAAGTGAGCAGGTAGTTTAAGCGCCCCGGGGAGCAGACTTGGCAGCTGGTGGACTCAAACCTGAAACCATCCGGATCCAACTCTTCCTTGCTTCCTTAACCACCAAGCCACCACTGCCTCAGTGCTTCTAAAGGATGAATATTACAGTGGTGCCTCTTTTTGAACTTACTGATAAATCGAGAAATAAATAATAAATAAAACAACAAAAAGTAGTCTAAAAAATAGTTTTGTTTATTATCATTTATTACAAAAAACAATTCCCTGTGCATAATAATTAAGCCAAGAATCTGAACTCATGTTCTTAACCAGGTCATTGAATCTACCATATGTTGCTTTTATTGGAGCTAATGTAACAGCTCCCTCATCGGTTGGTCCAACAATGTTTAGGTTCGTTTGTTCCAGCACATTGAAAATTTTTTTTACTTTTATTTCTCCATAACAAAGGGCTTTTTCGACATCGCTGTGGACAACCTGTACGCAGAGCCTGCAGTCCTGCAGTGGATCAGAGAAAACATTCCAGAGTGGAAGAACTGCATCATTGTGTCTCCAGACGCAGGTGGAGCCAAACGGTGAGTTAGTGGCACACATGCTCGTGCTGTTGGATGCACAGGTTTATATAACCACAGGGGTAGGGTTTTCATGTGTAATTCTGTCTCTTGTCCCCTGCAGTGTGACGTCCATTGCTGACCGTCTCAATGTGGACTTCGCCCTCATCCACAAAGAGAGGAAGAAGGCCAACGAGGTGGACCGCATGGTGCTGGTGGGCGACGTCAAGGACCGTGTAGCCATCCTTGTGGACGACATGGCCGACACCTGCGGCACTATCTGCCACGCTGCAGACAAGTCCGTGTCTTTGAGCTTGAAGGTTGAATTTTAGTTAACAGATGTAGCATTTTCCAACTTCTCGTGTGTTTTTATCATTTAGGCTCATTGACGCCGGAGCGGTCAAGGTCTACGCCATTCTCACTCATGGAATCTTCTCCGGCCCTGCCATCTCCCGCATTAATAACGCTCCCTTTGAAGCCGTGGTGGTGACCAACACCATCCCACAGGAGGAAAAGATGAAGGCATGCCCAAAAATACAGGTACATATTTATTGTTGTCAAACCTTTAGTTATTCTACCTAGCCAGTAATTGTTCTAGCTAACTTGATGCCATAATTGCTAAATGATCACATACCTAGCCTTTTAAAGTTAGTGTGGCTCATCTTTAAGTTACTGTAGTGTAAAATTCAGAGCCAAAAAATATTCTTTTAATTTGATGAAACACTAGAGGGAGCTGCTTGATTTCTAACACTTGTTATTGTTGTTCTCCAGGTCATCGATATCTCTATGATCCTGGCGGAGGCCATCAGAAGAACCCACAATGGCGAGTCAGTTTCCTACCTCTTCAGCCACGTACCGTTGTAAGGACCAAGTGTGTGGACCATTTCAGCTTTCTCTCTGTGTGTCAGCTACTATGGCCTTCAGGAGGTGACTATTAAAAGTCTCTCCAACAAATCTCTGCTCTGGACATTTATAAAATGTCACTTCCTCTTCTGAAGACCAGCTTTTGTATTTATGTTCATCTATTTGCCTCGTTTTGTTTCTTATTTTTTCCTTTCCATTACAGCAGGGGGGCCTCGTCTTCACTGTAACCAAAGGGCATGTCATGTATTAACATGTTTGTGTTATTTGAACCCGTTTTTCAAAGTATCAAGCATTCCACTGGGAGATGTGGTTTGAATTTTCTTGGCTACTTCTGTTTGGGGAAAGTAATAAGAATGACTTAAAAATGTTAGAAAAAATAGAACTCTGCTGAAAGGGTTAAAATAATAGGTGAAAACTAACAACAAGCCCTAAAACCTTTTGACCTTGATTGTAACGTTTGTTGACACACAACTGCACCACAAGTCAAATCATCTGCTTTGTTTTAATGAATGAATGGTCTGTTATCTTTTGCTTTGATCTGCTGCCACCTTTTGGTGGTAAATCTGTATGGCACCCTTACTCTTTATGTCTACTCAACTATTCCTAAACCTATTGACTCTCTAGATGGTCTCTTGGTAATGGATGTGAGGTTTTCTGGTGCTTTGTTCACCTTTAAAAAAAGGTCATAAAATAATTGAGCCTAAATGTTAAGATTGTCACAATCATTTAAATATAAATTCTGTCATTGTTGGTCACATTTGTTCTGGAAGCAGAGTGAAGAAATCACTGGTAAGAAAGCATGACTTTTTTTAATATGTAATGCTACAAACTTTTTCTTTGACAATAAAGCTTTGACAATAAGACACTGTCCCATTTGAGTGTATGTTATTGAAGTGACTGTCCTTTTATGCATTTTATACAACTAAAATGACCTATTTTTCAAATAAATCACTGGTTTTACGTCCTGTGAACAGACAACAGCAAAAAGGGTAACAAAAAAGCTGTGGGCCTAGAAAAGCTTAAAGTTGACCACAACTTCAGTACCCATTCTAATTGGCATTCATTAACATTTGGAAAAAAAACAATGGTTAAAATGTTGCTGTGAGCCCAATGTTAAGGTTATAGTTAGTTTGTGAGAAATAAACTGTGGCACAGTTATCTAGAAACTGAGTAAAAAAAGAAGTAGTCTAGAATGACTGAAGCCAGTGGAAAAAGGCCAAAATAGTCTGAAGTTGGCAACAACATTTTGGTTTTCAGCGAGCCCCTCAGTGTTTCGATAACGGTGATTAAGACGGACATTAACGGTGATTTAGAGGGAAAACAAAACTTTCCTCATGCATAAAAACATAATTCTATTGTAAAAACTCCATTGTAACAACCGAAATTACAACTGGAAGTAAAATCTTTAGGCAAGTATCCCCCCATGTCACTTCCGGTGCTCGTAGCTCTATAAAACTGCGATGTTGACATTATTCCTGAGGCACAGTGCTGAAAACGAACCCAGGTTTCTACACAAGGCTGTACAATTAATTATTTTGTATTTAATAAATATTTCTGTTGGCCGACAGAATCGACACCAACATAGCGGCATCGACTGAAAATGCAGGGCTGTATTTTAATCACGACGTCCGTTAGTCGTCCTCCAGAGGGCGCTCCTCTTGCACAAATCTGCATCTTCACGTGAGACGAATGATAATTGGCACTTTGGAGGAGCTTAAAAAATACTTTTTTTCGGTAGAAAACAAACAACACCAACAGAATTAATAATACGATAGCAACGAGTCAATAACCCCAGATATCTATATTTTTTAGATTAAATTCTCTCTATATGTTTTTTCCTAACGATTCAAATCATATCTCTAGTTTATCATTCTGTTTATCTATTTTTTTTATTTCCCCCTTTGTCTCTGTCTCTACATCTTTTTCTATACATTTTTTCAGTGCATTGATGTCTTCAGGTAATTATTTTATTTCCAAACAATTATATTTATATTTTCATGGATATTTCAATCTCTTTTGTACATATGTAACTGTTATATTACTCCCTAAATATTTGATACTGAAAAATGTGATACTTCCTTTGTTATGATCAACTACTTTTATATTTTCCCTTATTGTAATGACATCATTCGTCATTATTTGTATTAGTTTTATATTTTTAATGGTATTGTATTACATGTGTTTCAACTTATTTTTAACGACATTTTTTATAGCATGGCTTCTATATATAATACATTTAGATGAAATAACAGACTTTTAACCTCTGACCGCTTCACTGTGACGGGGTTTGGTTAAGCTCGTCAATATTTTGATTTAAATTCCACGGCATGTCTTTCCATTAGGGGGAGCAAGAGAGCCAGCTGATGATGTCACGGTCATTAGCATATTTCTGACTATAAGTAAGGCTTGCGCAGAGATCCTCCAGTACTACTGCGGCGCACGGAGTAGAGACTGTCCAGCCTTCAGCCTGTACCTCGGTAAGAACCTGCTCTCATTGTCTTTGTCCCCCAGTTACACTCACACACACACACACACACACACACCCACACACGCACACGCACACAATCTGAGTACCGTTAGAAAAGTGCCCGATTGTCGTGCCAAAGCAGAAACCAATAGACTTAAACCAAACAGTTTGTTTTACTTAAATTCTCACGATGATGTGAAGTGATCCAAGACGGTATCAAGGGACGTGACAGAAGACCACAGCCTGGCCGTGTGCACGCCCGCTCCATTGTGTGTGTGTGGGCGCGCGCACGCTCGTGCGTTACAGCGCTCTCATCTTTGTGATGCCGGAGTTGCAAGCGCCTGGTGCCGTTATTCAAAACAATGCCCGTGGTGCGTTCAGGACCCCGTCCTCCTCCTTTTTTCTGGCATTGAATGTTAAAGTGCGGAGCTGGACTTGGCTGTAGGTGGAGGATGAATGATCAGAAAACTGGGCGGTGGTTCCTGATGATGGCGCAACGAGGCTCGAGGGGAAGTGGCGTGTATGCAGGAAGAATGTGGACACAGTTTTCACCAAGTGGACAAACGATGGACACGACTAATGAAATATTTGAATATAATAGATCAGAATAAACCAACGCGGCACATTGTCCCCAGTCCGCACCGCCGCAGGAGGCGCATTGTTATGTAAATGTGAGAACGGATTCATGTGCATTGTGTGGAGCAGCATCTTCTGCCCCGGAGCTGCGTGTTGAATAACGGACTGCGTGCACACTCCCATCCGCCACCAGGCGAACAAAGGAGCCAGAGGGAGAAGTTCGATCTGCGGCTGCGCACTCAGCTCAACTAGTCAGATTTTTTTTTTCTTTTATGGTCACTGAGATTTTAGGCAACGCCCTTAGACTGATTACAAAGTCCCAGTGGACCATGTACCCCCTGGAGAAAAGTCTCATTTAAAATCATTAGGGATTTTACTGGTTTCAAGTACAGAACTGCACGTCACGTCCCAGCCATTTACACAGGATATGAGATTATTTAGACACAGGAAGATGTGGACTGGACCATACACACACACACACACACACGTACGGTAGCTTTTTCTGGTCGGCAGATGTTTCACCTTCCATTTCCTCAACTTCTCCAGACCTTAATCCGCAACCATGAGTGACAAGCCCGACGTCTCTGAGGTGGAAAAGTTTGACAAGAGCAAACTGAAGAAGACAGAGACCCAGGAGAAGAATCCTCTGCCAACGAAAGAAAGTAAGAGCTGCTGGATGTGTGGATGGTTAGAGAGTAAAAAAAAAAATCATAGAATAGCTGAAATAAATTCTAGTTTTTATAGTAAGTTTGGATAGTTACATTTGTCATAGGATATTATTGGCTTTGCAGACAATAGACAGATAAGTTGTTTATCTGTCTATATGTGTGAAAATGTTAAATACTCTTTTTTTGTATTTTTCTATCATATTATCTGATCTTTTATCTTTAAAAAAAATAATTTTGACTCAGAACAGAGGGGAGTGGTCGCTCACACGGTGTTTATACAGTTTGGCACTGATCTCAAGTGCAAACTTTTTTCCCTGCATCTTTTCCTGAGAACTGATGCAGTAGCAGTGAAATAGTAATAATGCCATAATGTAGCCTAATAATGTAACCTAATAATGTAGCCCAATAATGTAGCCTAATAATGTAACCTAATAATGTAGCCCAATAATGTAGCCCAATAATGTAGCCTAATAATGTAGCCTAGCCTCTGTGACTTGTGTGTGTGTGACAACTGTTACATCACTTTTGTTTCCTCACCGCCGTCTCCCTCTCCTCCCCCCTCTCTCTCCACAGTCATCGAACAGGAGAAGGCAGACACTAAGTCGTGAAGACCCTCCCTCCTCGTCATGCACTGTACACCCCACCACCACCCCCTTATTCTCCTCCCGCATTGCAATGTTTCTCAGTCACATTTTTTTTAGCTGTATAACTATGTAACCTGAAATTACGAAAACGACAAATGTAACCGAGCTGCTACACCGTCCCCTGCTGGACGGACAGTGAACTTCGTCCATCAGTGGAGTCCTCAAAACCCTTTCCCGCCATCACTGCGCCGACACTTGGGGAGATGCAGAGAAATTGTCTTCAGAGAGACGGAGGAGAAGGGATTTGAAGGTGTAAACGTCTTCGTTACCAACATGGACGTGCAGCGGAGAGGCCCACGGGAAGACGCGACACCGTGTCTTTGGAAACATCCAATTTCCTGTGCGGCTGCATTTTGCACCAAAGCCGAGTTGTCGAGCTTTTTTTTGTTCTTGTTGATTTTCGTATTCTAATTTTTCGGAAATGCACAACTTTGTTTATACGCTGGCCAAAATATAAAGCCCCCTACAATAATTGACACTGTTTCTTTTTTTTAATTTTGTACGTACACAAAGTGAACAAAACAATGTAACCAGTACCATCCTAACCTTGAGATGCACAAAGGGAGCTTATTTACGGTTGAACTGTTTCGTTTGTCTCTTAATTATTAAAAAAGAGGGGAAAAAACCAGAAGGAAAAACATCAGTGATTCAGTCAGTGTGTTGGACTTCAACCGTAGATCAAGATTCTTCTGTAAAAGTCCCAGTTGTCATGTTACTCTGCCACAAACCATTGCCAGAAATGGTCAAAAATGTCAGATGTTGTAATAAAAAAGAATTTGTTACAAAAAAGAAGTGTTCTGTAGAGTTCTTCCACACACACACACACACACACACATATTTGAACTGGTATCCACCTTATTCAGAGAACTTGGCAGTTCATGGTAAATATTTCAGCTTCTATTTCCATCGTTATTCATTTGGATCGACTTTCACTTCAATAACTGAGCATTTGTACAGGAACAAAAGAACAAACTGTAAAAAATACACAGAATATTTGTAATAGTCACTCATTAAAATACTAAGAAATAAGCCTAGAAATATCTGAGGCGATTAAATAAATTAAACGAACTTGACGATGCCCTCGGAGAAATAATTCAAAGTGTGAAAAGTGTTGCAGTGATGTTTAAAGTCAAACAAGTGATACTCACTTGTCCAAACACGTTTAAATTCACAGAATTCCTTCACATTATTGAGACTTTGTGCAATGAATTGCCAGCCCAGGTAGTGTGCAGATATGGGCTCAGTGTTCAGCACCAGGTGAAGACGTTAGCTCTGTGAGCCACTCATGTTATTTTAGACCACTGATACTGACTGAATCAAAGTCAGCAAACAGGAGTGGACCACTCACATGTACCACTTTTCAACACCTTATGTGGGCCACATGACACAGTCTAAATTTGTCATTTTTTTTAAAGATATGTTGTAGGAAGTTACTTTAAGTTTACGACTCCAACTATACGTCTTTGACCCCAAATAAACAAAAGACTCGATCTTGATCTGTACACATTCTGGTTGTAGTCTCTCTCGTTTACTCTTCATAAAGTTTTCTCACAGCTTCACTTAGACAACTTTAGAAAATGAGGCGTCGATACATCAGGACTCCAGCCTCAGCTCCAGAGCAGGAGACTGGGTTATGGAAATGAAACTGCAACTCTGAGAGGCTACTTCCTGTCAGAGCTGATGACGGCCAGGCCCAGTTTAAGATGATTGCTGATTGTTTCACTGAAACTTGAACCCTGGAGCAAAAGAGCCATATAATCCAGGACGGAGATTAGGTTTGTGTTTAAACAGCTCTTGTCGTAAAGTGACTTAACTCAAGGCGCAGCCTCCTCGTTTCAAGGCTAATGGCAGGGTGTCTGTTTGAGGGGTGGTCTCAGGTCCGAACGTCTGATTATACTGTGGGACGGGACTGTCTGTTTGAAAAAAATAGAATTTACGAACCGTTCACTCTCCTGTTGAAACCTATTAAACCATGAGAGTCAGTCACTTTAACTGGAACAGTTAATGTATAGCTGGAAAAACACGTTGGTTTCTAATGGTGATTTAAACAGATATTATCAGAGAACAACAGCACAGCTTTTATATCTAATCTACCTGCTACAGAGCTGCACATACTCCTGTATCCAGTGGGATTAAAAATCACATTTTGTTTTTCATGAAATTTGTTTCTGTTGATAGAAAATAAACACAAAGCTTTAGCTAGCTAGGGTTAGCTTAGCCTCTAGCTTATGGCAAAAATGCAGGTGTAAACTAAAGCTGTGTTCCTAAATGTTGCACAATGGTGACATTCTGGCACATGGATGTTGATGAAGGCAACACGGAGAGGTGGACTGGACACACACACCCAACTTTACGTTCTGTCGTAGTGGAGGGGAATTTATTTAGGGACATCACTGTTTATGTCACCATGAGCCTCATGTTGAGAGTCATTTTGTGTTAGGTCATGGATTAGCAGGATGATGGGCCTCCACCCTTGTGTGTGTGTGGAGTTAATCAGTGTCATCACAAACACCTGTGTCCCTGTCATCAGTCTCACTGGTGTCACCTGGTGGCCTGGCTGTGTGGGATCATGGTTCTGATGAGCTGCTCTTTGTTCCTGTGACCCAGTGAGTTTTAATGATTTGTTTTTTTGCACTTTGTAAATAAATCGTGCTGCCTGTTCACACCCATGGACAAACCAGTATCACACATTATAGGAGTGGGGAGTTAGTGATTGGACACAGAGTAAAAATAATATTTAAACATGATATTTATTAGGCGGTGCTTTGGCCCAGAGGCAATGTCTCTGTCATTGGTGTGGAACCCCAGGGTTCGAATCCCAGTTAGGGCGGTTGGTACCTTCCAGTGGACTCACCAGGAAGGTTCAGCGGAGCTGGTACGGTGCAGTGTGATCTGGGTGGTGGTCATGGAGACTGCTGCCCCCACGACCTGGTAACGGATAAGCAGCTGAAAATTGATGGATTTTTATTAGAAACTCAGAAGAACGTGAAGTGTGTGTTATCGCCTGTTTACAAAATTATAGTTTTTACAGACATTAATATTCTGAAAGTGTTCTTTCTAAACCATATTGTTCAGACACCTTTACTGGGAGGAGTCTGGTGTTTGGGTTAATGTACAACAATCAAACAGTGCTGCTTTAATCTGCTCTTTACTCTGAAAGTGTAGAGGTGGGCTGACATGCACTAATGTGTGGCATGGCTGCCACGCCCACTCCTTTCAGAGCCTAGAGACAAATGTGCATCAGCTGCTTGGATGAGCGGTGGCTTAGCGGACAGCGTGCCATGACCTAGAATAGGGTGTGGCCAGACAGGAGATTAACTCAGTCCTTCATCCCAAATTATCCACCATCCAGCCAACTAAGCCTTAATGACATTAGCATTTCATGACTGCCAA